CGTTTCGGGGCATGCCGTCTTGATCGATGGCCTCCCATATTCTGTTCAGACTCTCTTCGGTGCGGTATGGACTGGGAGTGTCACGCTCATAGAAGCACATGGCACCCCCGGCCCTCGTGGCCGTTATTTCGCAGAGACGACAGCCCTTCGTGGCGGTGTGCCCAGAAAATTTACCGAATTTGTTGGATCCGGGCATGTCACTCTGGCAGTACAGCAAGTGACCTCGGAGAGTGAAAGAATGTTCCACGCCATTTTTGTCGACCCTTATCGCCTCAACACCTGGGAGCGAGAGACATTGCTCCGTCAGCAGCGTGCTCTCGCGAGGATTATGTGGAGTGACCAAGTGATCCACACCAGAGGGGCTTACGCACCGGTCTCAAGTCTCTTCATATCTTCGAAAAACGGCTTCAAAAATGTATCAAAGTCACGAGGCGATCGTGGACCAGGCGTAAGCAAGACCGTAATGAGATTTTCCTTTTTGTAGCGCAGAGCAGGTGGAAGATTGAAGTTGATCAAGATGAAGCCCCACGATTGATGGCTTTGCCTACACCAGATACAAAGGTCAGCTGTGGTTATAATCTGATTTTGAAACAGAGAGCGGGCGTACCTCTGATTGATATTGAAGACATCAAAATGCAGCCCGAGAGCAACGTCGGTGGGCTGCTGGAACATTGAGCGACTACAAAGGTGCTGGTAATATTCGGCATCGAATATGTCGTTCATGATGCCTGAAGATTCAGATTTGGTGAGTTCAGAGCACCATATAGCAATATAGTATTGGGAAATAATACGGGTGGAAAGTACCTGGTTCGCTCGCTCTGTTTGCTCTGTACATCATCAACTCTGCCATAGTTGGATTTCGGTAGAGTGTCTGAAGTATCTGAACAAAATCGAAATACTTGTAGGTCTGAATCGGCCTCAGTTGTGGTTGAATGCCGCCATTCAGAAGTTTTTCGTTCACCGTCGCATAAGCATCCTCTCCACAAAACGTGCATATTCGACTCTGGTTATCATTGATGTCGAATCCCATGCAGCTGTTTGGGCAGCAGGGAAGCCTCTGAAGATACTCGTTCCACTCGCAACAAATGATCTTTTGGATCTTGTACAGACTGGGTGCAGCTGGTAATGACAATCCTTGGAATTTGTTGCAATGATTAAGGACAGATTTGATGGCTTTGTCGGTAACATTGCACTCGGTCAACACCTTGACCAGCTGCGAATAGAAGGGCGGGATATCTGGGGGAAAGCCGCGGGTGAATACATCAATTCGGATGCTACATCGGATTGCTATCTGTCCTTTGAATTTGACTCACCATCTGATATGCGGGGCTCTTCGTCACCAGTTTCTTCATCATCTTCATTCATTTCAAGCAGTCGAAAGTGGCCGAGGAAGCTATCCGGATACTGTCCTGGAAGGTGAACCGTGGCATTTATATGAGTCAACCGGACTCTGAAGCAAGACCAGGAAGATTCGACGATACGATCAGGCTGGGTGACGTTGATATCTCACCCGAAATGTCATCGAATTCTCTCGGTGAGCTTGAAGTGGTGTCTTCTGAGTCTATCGAAGAGTCTTCAGAGTCTTCGTAGTACATGGACGCTTCTTCAGAGTCCCGCGATGCCCACATGCTTGGCGACCACGAAGGGCAGCGTTCAAATTGAGCTGGAGCAGGGCCTTCGTTGTCTTGGGTGCATTGCTGAATAGATGCTCCTGTTTGGATATCCATGCTCTCGTGCTCAAATGCGCGGGGTGAGCCTTTGGGCCAGGCCAAGGATGAAGAAACAAAGTCGGACAAATCGAGAGTGTATTGGTCATTTCGTAGTGAGCTCTGGCAGCGTCCAAGCACAGATCACTGATTATTGCTCAAGACTGAAACCGTGACGCACACAAAAATTTAGCGAGAATGTGATATCAGGTGCTCAGTCTTACCCAATGAAGGTCGCTGCGATGTTATCCCATGTGGTCGCAGTTCATCTACCACCAACACTGGGGGATGAAATGTCGGCGAAGTTCGCAAATTGGGGTTATTTTCGCATATGCTTGTAATAGGACGGTGAGGGAACGAAGAAAGATGGCCAGGTGTGTTTTCTTGAGGATCTTTGAGCGAGTACATGTGAACAGGGGGGACTCCAGGTGGAAAGCCATAGCGATAGAAGTGGTCGTAGTAGGTCGTTCTGGAGACAATCCTGAAGCCTTGCGAATCGGTGCTACACTTGCGACAACGACAGATGGATCTGTTCTTGGGAAGCCCATCGTGAGCCCTATTTATCGAGGATGGTACCCTGGTCGATGATATTGGATATGGAGTATGCCTTGGGTGATCGTGCCCAGATGGTTGAGCGGCTGAACTCATGATTAGAGTCGGATGAGAAGGTCGAGGGGAGAAAGGATCAAGAGGAGATTGACGAAGCAACTGGGGGCGGAAATGCCCGGTTTTTGTCCAAGTCCGAAGGCTCTGATGACCCATGAACACAGATGAGTCAGGAAAGCAGCCGGGGGTCATGGACAGTGAACGAGTCGCGGAAGACAGTGAAAAGCCGGGATGACTCGGATGCCATGTCACGTGAACGGAAGCAGCCCATTGGCCGAGGGCTCCACGGGATGTGGCAGTGCGGGTTCGGGGACACCCAGGGAGCCAGCAACCTGGACGAACAAGGAGAAATGCGGGTGACCCGAGCCCGTCGCGGTCGCTTCAGTGGCCAGACGCGACCCCCAAGGCAAAACAAAACGCGAGAAGACGTGTTTTTCCTTGTTATGCTGAGTCCGGTGGGGGATTTGCGAGGGAAGTATTGGCCAACGCGTAATTTACACGTCAGCTTTTTTTTCATAGTGGCACATCTGTCTGTCGGTCACGACGCTGTCCCCACCGCGCCGGCCAAGCCATCTGCCGAATTCCCAGCAATCCTCTTTGACTCCCCCCCCCACCAGCGGCCGTTGTGGCTGCGTTTTTTTTTTCCGCCCTCTCCCGCGGCTTTGTCGGCTGCTCGCAGCGAGGCACAAGTACCCCCCGTGTGCGCGACCAGGGCCAGAGGCCGGATCGCTCTCGTCTGCTGCAGCAACAGAGACTGGGCTCGATACTGCGAGGGGGAGGGACCCAGGCCGGGGGCGCTGCGGATTGCTCTGCCTCGGTCTGCCTCGGTCTGTCGATCGCCAGCGTGGCACCAGGGGGGCATGTCGCAAGACGGGAAACGCACCGAGCCAGGCGACAGATCGCTCGCCATCGCGGCCTGGTTGCGGCCACCGCTGTGCTGGCGCAATCGGCCGTCAGCAGCAAGACCAGCAAGACCAGCAGGAACAACACCAGCAGCGGTGCCGTTCTGGTCCCCCACAAAGCAATCTCGCCACCACGAGCAAGCAACGTGCGCGCTGGCAAGTCGGCGCCATGGGCCAGCCACTGTCGCCAGGCGCCTTTACCCTCTTTCCCCCGGCACTCTCTGTCGCCTGCTTGCCATGGTCGCTCTTTGGTCCGTGTCGCGGGTTGCACCGATGTCGCCTTCTTGGGGAGCACTTGCGCTCTCGGTGTGGCCGTCTCCTGGGTGCACCAGCACACTCCCCACCGCCAGTCTTATTGTCGAGACCGCTTGCTCTGTTCCGGCGCAGTCTCCATTCAAGCCTGTTGGCTGCTCCGGTGTCTCGGTTTGCCAGGCCAGCCGCGGCTGCTCGCCTCCTCCTGCTCCCTTCGTCCCCCCCCCGGCACTAAAAGGCTGCATATCTCCGCGAGCAAAGGAAAGGGGCCGCCTCCCTGCTCACAGGCATCTCCTCGATCTGCTCCGCACAGACAAGCCCGGTCCCCAAATAAGACTCCCTGAGAAACCCGCTCGCTTGGCCCGCTTCAGAGCCTCTTCTCGTTTCTGTCTCTGCTGCGACCCGGCACCACCCACCCCTCCCTGCTCGGCCAGCATTGCTTCCCTCTTACTACCAGCGCCGCCTCTTCGACTCGAACCGCAAGACAGCCTTCGAGAACACTAGCTACCATCTGCCTCCCAAGAACAAAGGCAAGTTGTTGGTCCGAGGAAGGAAGGCGCTGCTGTGGCCGGAAGATGATCCCCTCCACCACCCTGGGCGAGAGTGTGGACAAACACAAGGGGAGCGAGAGGTCGATGAGAGAGACAGTCGCCGTGATGGCTGCTGGGCTCGCTGGGCTCGCTGGTGGCAAAGATAATGGGCATATCAAGCACACCGCAATTCCTCTGGCGATCGACCCGGTGGAGTCGTGGCCGCGGACAGCTCGAAAGCAGGAACCACCGCGATCGGAGCAGGACCAGCAATGTCAGCGGGGAGTGGTCTTGGCCCGCTCTGCAGGACAAGCGACAGATTGAGCCCCGGCCATGGCGGTGTGTCTCCCAACCGGTGGTGCTGGGTCGTGAAGCGAAAAGGCTTCTCGAGTCTCGATCGACACCTTGCGACTTTTGGAGGGTTGTTCTGTCCGATCGACCTGGAGGGAGAGGCTCCTTTCTTCTCGATGGCCGTGTGGATTGCTGCGTCGATGGGCCGTCCTTGTGGCTGACCTTTGTTCCGGCAATTTTCTCTGCTCTCCCGGCTTGGATTGCAATCCTCGTCCGTATCTCTGCTGCTCGGCTCGGACTCGGCTCGGACTCGGCCGGCAACTTGCGGTATCGCCTTTTGTGCTGTTCCGTCGCCGATCGCACTCACTCGCATCCATTACCCCACTCATTCATTTGCTCATCTGCTCATCGACTATTGCACTATTGTTCGTTGTCACGCGCATCTTTGTCGCTTAACGGTGCACCCCACTTGCTCCTCGGACCCACGACTCATCACATCTCGTTGCATTTTATCACATTGCATTGCATTGCACTTTATCACATCTCGTTGCATTGCATTTTATCACATCTCGTTGCATTGCATTTTATCACATCTCGTTGCATTGCATTTTATCACATCTCGTTGCATTGCACTTTATCACATCTCACCATCACCACATCTCACCATCACCCCATTCCGCGCACCAGATCCGAGAGATCGTGAGTGCTATCCGATGGCCTCTCCACACCTCTCCTCTCGCCCTGCTCCCAGCCATCCCGGGCCGACGTCGTCTCCCGCCTTCTCTCGCCCCTCGCCTGCCCTGAGCGCCGTGCCGGCCTCGCCCTCGCTCTTCGCCAACCCTCCTCCAAACTTCCTCCCCATCGCTCGGCCTTCGCCTGCCGTCCGGCCTTTCCTCCCACACCACCACCCTCTGTCCATCCCACTTGCGCTGTCGCCGGTCTCTCGCCTGCACTCGCCCTTCCTCCCGCAGTCGCCTCTGATCCTGCCGCTGTCGTCGCCGCTGCCTCCGCAGGTGCTGCCGCCGCCCCCTTCGCATTTGCTGCTGCCCCATCTGCCGCCCTTCTCGCCCCACTCGCCCCACCCGCTGCCACCCCTCTTCACCTCCTTTCCCGTCTACCCATCGCCCCAAGGCCCCTCTGCCCGTCCTCCCGTGCTCTTTGGCCCCTATCCGCCTCTGTCGCCCGCCCCTCCCTCGGCCTTTGCCCACCCCCTCATCCCCCCGCCGCTGCCCCAGTTTGCCCAGGACCTGATCAACGCCTCGTCGTCCTCGGCCTCCACCCCCACCACGCCAAAGTACATCCCGTCGCCTCCTGCCGGCTCGCTGCCGAATCCCGCCTCCATGGCCACCGATTCCACCACCACGCCCTCGCCTCAGCTCTCCCAGGTCGTGCCCAGCGACCTGCCCATGCCGCCTCCACCCCCTCGTCGGTCCAAGGAGGATACCAGGGATCTGAAGCGTGCCTATGTCGACGACAGCTACGACCTTCCCGAGGCTGCCCTCCAACCGCCCATCCCCCACACCCATACCCCCTCATTAGATTTGGATCATCGCTCCAGCCCTTCCCTCCATAGAACCTCCAGAAAAAGCCATACCCTTTCGTCCTCTGATTCCGCCGCTGACTTTGACTCGTCTTCTCTGGGCGCCGATCCAGCAAGCCGCTCATCGTCGCTGGAGCTTCCCTCCCACCCTCCGGACGCCGTCGCTGCCGAGCGCCGCTCTTCCTCAAAGTCTGCCACGAGCTCGCCCATGCTGTCGGAATCAGGCGCCGCCTCCAAGGCCCGCAAGCTCAACCACGGCTCGCTCTCGAAACAGCGATCTGTGCCATCCGGCCTCGCCGACGCCGCTAGGTCCGACGAACCGGCCGTTCCGTCGTCGCCCGTGCTGGCGCCCTCTCGCCCATCCCATGGCCGCAAATCGTCGCTGTCGAGGTCCAAATCGACCAAGGCCGCAAAATCGCCCCGGCCCCTGATGCCGACGCTGCCCCGTGCCCTGCTGCCGCTGATCAAGCCCAAGAACGGGTACGTGTGAGCCGGAGCCATGCTCACGGCAGAATTCTGCCTCGTCCCAGCTTGTCTCGTCGCGTTTTTCCGTTTGGCACTGCTTTCGTCTTTGCCTATGCCGAGTGCATAGATGATACGATTGCACACAATCCGTGCAATTGCATCCATTGCACCCATTGCATCGCTTCACAACTGACAATGCCCTCCCTCGTCGTTCCCGAGCAGTGACCCCTCAAAGCTCGAAGGCGACAAAGCCTGGACGGCCCTCTCGCCTCGGCTCATGCCTTCCGCATCGCCACGCCTGATGCCCACAGTCTCTCCCCGGCTGATGCCCACCATTTCCCCGCGTTTGGCCCCGAAGCCCTCGGCCTCGGTACCGCCCATGTCCAGCTTGACCCTTCCAGGAAACAGCAGCGACTACTGCGGGCCCTCGCCGGCTCTGTCGGCGTGCTCCTCATCCTCCCTGTCTCCTGGCCTGCTGCCTTACTCGGGCCCGTGGCCGCCGGACCAGAAGCACGATGCCAAAAAGTCGGCACATTCTCGCAGCGAAAAATCCCGCCGCGACCAGATGAAGTCGTGCTTTGAGAGCCTCCGGAATCTGCTCAGCACGGTCTCGAACATCGAGGGCATGAACGAAGTCGAGTTCTTCTCGGGCGATGAGGGCGTTGACGACGATGAAGATGTCCTGGCTACTCTGCCTGCTCCGTCTGCTGCACAGTCCGACGACAACATCAAACGCGAGGTCTCGCTGATCAAGGAGCGTCTCCCCGTCGCGGGAACCGTCTCCAAGTTCAACCGCTTCCAGGTGCTGGCCCAGACCGTGTTCGTGATCGAGAAGCTCAAGAAGCGTGTCGGTAAGAAGGAGGTGCTCATCGAGAGGCTCAAGAACCAACTCGAGTCGATCCGCCTTGGACTCGAGCTCGACGAGTCCGCCCTCGACGAGTCTGGCCTCGACATGGACTCGACCTTTGAGCAGACCTCGGCCATCAGCGATCTCCTCAGTCACTCTGTCGCGATGGAAATAGGCTTTGATCCCAGCGCATCGGGTCTACGCGTCGACCACGATCTCTTCGACCCCGACCACCTCAGCGGCCCCGACATTCATGCTACCGAAGAGGCCCTCAAGGGCTTTGACCTGCAGCACGTCATCTCGACAACCAACTTCCACCTGCCGCCGTTCGACTCGGACCCACAGTCGAATCTGCCTCTGGAGCTCAGATGCGCGAGCCACGAGAGCCACTCTGCTAGCCACCTGGACTTCAACTCTGCCCTTGCCGGCTCCTATCCAGCCACCACGGGCACAGCCGACCTGAGTCTCGTTGCCCATGGCCTGGATGGCGGGCTTGGTGCCGGGCTTGGTGCCGGGCTTGGTGCCGGGCTTGGTGCCGGGCTCGGGGCCTCCCATCCACCCTCCGTCGGGGTCGTCTCGGCCGATCCTCTCCAGGACTTTGCCGTCAGCTCTGCCCTGCGGGACAGTCACTTTGCCGCCATTGCTACCAGCCGGCAGACACCTTCCCAGCAGTTCATGGACTGGCACTAGACGTATACGCTGCGGCGGCTTGTCCTTCCGAGGAGCCGTGCGTGCCTTCAAACGCACCCGGTCGCCGCCGTGCATGATCTCTGCCCTTCGTCCTCAAGGCGCATTAGAGCTGCAAGTCAAATCAACACACGACTCTTTCCGGCCAGCAACAACGGCAGTAGCAGCAGCACCGACAGGACCCATCGCCACCATCGCCACCCCACATTGATCGGGCTCGACACCATGGATGTCGCAGCAGCAACCTCACCATATTTATCATCTGCCTATCACTTCCCCCCCCCATACACAAGGCCATTCTCATTCTCTATCCTCCATTGAGCTTCTCCCAGCCGGGACTAGTCGACTTATCGTCCAAGCGTGCTTGGTGCTCTACGCCTCTCGCGCGCGCTGCCCTGCACGTCCTCTTTCGTCCAGGAGGACAGAGGTTGCACTCTTCTTCTCCAAGGCCCTGCTTTTCTGGTGGCTTTGGGGAATCCCTTCATTTCATCTGTATTTTTTTTTATTATTTCCCCTGTTTATGCAATTTTTCACTCCACCCTTGCTCTCTCTCTATCTATCTATCTATCTCTCTCGCATCCACTTGCATTGCCCGTCTTTACCTCTCTGGTCCTCTCAATTCCATTTCATTCACTCCAGCCCACTCTGCTCGTACCTTTTTCTTTCTTTCTTTCATTCTTTCGTTCTTTCTCCCAGTCATATATATATTTGCACAACTGCGTTGGGCCTGTGGTGTCACGACTTTGGCCCTGTCGTTTTCCGTCTCGAGCGTTTCCATTCCACGGACATCCGAACCACTTTGTATTTATCTCGTTTGCCCCGGGTGTCGTTGCTGTTTCTATAGGCTTGATTTGGCTCTCTCCTCTCTCCCCTCCAGTGTCTGTCTTGAGTCGCTGTTGTGCCAACGCTCTTCCTTGTCCTCTTCGCTCAAACTTCCTTGTTGCTGTGATCGATTGATTGACTTGATAGACTTTATTGATTTGATTTGATATGATTCATTGGTTATGACAGATCCGATCAATCGATCATTGGGTATCTCTATCCGCGAGCGCTACGGGGTTGTTTTGTTTACTGCCGATTCAATAGAAAGCAGGACACCCTGGTTTTTGGTCGTTGATCGAATGTTTTGTTTCCCGAATACCATCGCGCGCTGGCCATGTCCATCCGCCAGTGTGTCGGAGGTGATGTTGAATCGCATGTGCCTCCATTGTTGGTCTGGGTTCGTTGGGCGAATACATACGCACATTCTGGCTTTGTATCCCGCGTTTCTCGGCAGCACATGCGTCGTGCTGCATCGGTCCACTTGATCGCCGCATCCTGGCACACCACAGCACCGCCATGTCGCCGCATCGCCACGAGGGGGCTGCTGCTTTCACCGCCCGACTTGCTCAATATGTCCCGATTCGGACTGGCCGACCTCGCACATGACCGCCCGCCAAACCCGCTCGCCTCCCTGCGAATCTGGCGGCTCTCTCCGTCCATCCAGATCGCCGTCGCTTCCAGCCCTCCGCCTGGTCCTGGCCTGCCCTGCCCCTCCCTCGTCCACTCTTCTTCCGGCCGCATCCCCCGCATCCCGCCCCCCCCCTCGGACCTGTCACCGGCTTCGTACCCATGGATCTCTCTGGAAGCGAAGACGACTTTGTCCTCGCCGCTGCTGCGACCAAAAAGAAGACGGCCGCGGCCAAAGTCCCCAAGGTCCCCAAGGCGCCCAGGGCCACCAAGGCCACCAAGCCTCTCCAGCCAGCTGTGCTCAATGACGTCCTCGACGGCGATTCCAAGCCCGTCGTTGCAAAGAAACCCAGGGCCCCCAAAAAGACCACCAAAGCCGCCAGCTCCGATCTCAGTCCGCCGACCTCCAAGAGCGACAATGACGACAACGACGACAACGACGACAGCGATGACTACAACTACGACGAGATCAAGCCCACTAAGCGCTCTGCCCAGACCAACAAGTCGATCGAAGAGGTACAGCAGGGGTGGTTCACGCTGCTTGCTATCGAAAGGAGTGTGTCTGTGATTGTGGGCCGTTGGGAGGACGAGTCGTCATCGCCATCGTTCCCAGTTTAGAGCTTCGCTGCGGAGTCCGAGGTCCTTTCCATCGCTCGCCTGCTGTATACAATTCCGCAGTTCTTTTGGATCAGCCTGCAGCTGCCAATTATCGCACTCGCTCACCTCGGGTCGCACTCATGCCTCCCTCCCATCACTCGCACCGAAACAGATCTACCAGAAAAAGACCCAGCTGGAGCATATTCTCCTGCGTCCCGACACGTACATTGGCTCCGTCGAGTCGATCGATATGGAGCTATGGCTCTACGAAGACAACCACATGGTCTTCCGAAAGGCCAAGATCGTCCCGGGCCTCTACAAGATCTTTGATGAAATCATCGTCAACGGTGGGTTCTTCATGATGGACACAAGACGAGAGCGGGCCAGAGAAAGAGGCTGCGGAAACGAGACTAGCCCTCTGGATGCACGATCTCACGAGGCCTGTAATTAGGGGGTCTCTACACACGACCGAACGGGTCTGATGACCCATGGCACTGCTCCAAACCATTTTGTCTGAACTCGGATTCGCGCCAAGGCGATGCTGCATCCAAAACTATCGGATTCCTTGATGATCTTTGAGCCCTGTATTGATCACTAACGGTGGCCTCACCCCGTCTCTGCTCAACTGCTTCGCCCCCCCCCAACCATACTGGGCCCATACCACATATATGTCCGGTCGCATCCGTGTCTCGACTTGTGCAGCTTGCGATAACAAGGTAGGCCAGTTGGACTTGCTCCCAAGCCAGGAATATGTGTTGGCGCCGATAATTTTCGCCAGTGAAGTCGTGCTAACCCACTCGACCCTCTTTGCTATCACCACCCGCCGACAGAGCCGCGATAGCTCCATGACCGAGCTTCGTGTCAACATTGACCGTGAAAACTCGTCCATCTCCGTCTTGAACAACGGCAAGGGTATCCCCGTCGAGATCCATGCCAAGGAGGGCGTGTATGTTCCCGAGCTCATCTTTGGACATCTCCTCACATCGTCCAACTACGATGACGCCGAGAAGAAGGTCACCGGTGGCCGAAACGGCTACGGCGCCAAGCTCTGCAACATCTTCAGTAGCGAGTTTGTTGTCGAGACTGCCGACTCCAGCACCAAGCGCCGCTTTAAGCAGGTGTTTACAGACAACATGAGCAAGCGCTCCGAGCCCGTGGTGACGCCCCTCAAGTCTGGCCATGACTTTACCAAAATCACGTTCAGGCCCGACCTGTCCAAGTTCGGCATGGACGGGTTCGACGACGATTTTGTCGCCCTGCTGACGAAGCGCGTCTACGACGCTGCCGGTGTGGTCCGTGGCATCAACGTCTTCCTCAACGATGTCAAGCTGCCCATCAAGACCTTCAAGGACTATATCAAGCTCTACATCCCTCCAGATGCCCCTCTCGAGGAGGGAGAGGCTGCCCCGCAAAAGTACCCGGTGATCTACGACAAGCCCTCGGAGCGCTGGGAGGTGGCCTTCACCGTCAGCGACGGACAGTTCCAGCAGGTCAGCTTCGTCAACAGCATCTGCACCATGAAGGGCGGCACGCACGTGGCCCATGTCTCGGACCAGCTCGTGAATGCCATCTCCGAGGCAATCAAGAAGAAGGCCAAAAAGTCTGGCAGCGTCGTCAAGCCCGCGCAGATCCGAAACCACATGTCCCTATTCATCAACTGTGCGATCGAGAACCCGTCGTTCGATTCGCAAACCAAGGAGAACATGACTCTCAAGCCCACGGCCTTTGGCTCAAAGTACTCATCGACGGACAAGTTTATCAGAGATGGTGAGACACTTGGCTGTGCCACGCGACTTGCTTGAGGGAAGGTGCTCACGGAGGCGTTTTGGACCAAATGCCCCGAGGCCAGTCGGGTTTGTTCTCCAAGCGATGGCCTTCGTGCTCATGTTCTGGATCTGGGCCTTTGGTGGGGCAAAGGTTTCTCATCCAACGTGCGCCTCGTTTGATGACACTACCGGCCTGACCACTGACAATACTCGTCTGGCACAATCACACTTGAATTGCAGTGCTGTCTTCCGGTGTCGTCGAGAGCATCATGTCCTATTCCGAGTTCAAGCAACAGCAGTCTCTCAAGAAGACTGATGGCAAGAAGACCGGCAGGCTGTCGTCGATCCCAAAACTCGAGGATGCCAACTGGGCCGGCGGCCGATACGCCAACCAGTGCACTCTGATCCTGACGGAAGGTGATTCCGCCAAGACCCTCGCTGTCTCGGGTCTCAGTGTAGTCGGCCGTGACAAGTTTGGCGTCTTCCCGCTCCGTGGCAAGCTGCTGAACGTTCGCGACGCCACGACGGCGCAGATCATTGCGAACGCCGAGATCCAGAACATCAAGAAGATCATGGGACTTCAAACTGGCAAGGTTTACGAAAACACAGACTCGCTTCGATACGGCCACGTCATGATCATGACGGATCAGGTGAGGATCTTTGTTGCGGATGTCCAGAGAGCTGGAAGGGTGAAGAAACAGCAATTCGTGCGTTGTCCTCAACGACAGCAGCAGCGCAATATAGCCAGCTTGCTTGTCCCGGCGCCCACCAAACAGCCGATGAGGCCACGGAACCTGTCCGTTCACGGCGACCTGTCCGTTCACGGCGACCTGGAGGTAGCATACCGCTTATACCACACTCCCTTTGTCTACGTCTTGCATTGCTGCCATCGACATAATGGCATCGGATGGCTTTGATAGGATCACGACGGATCGCACATCAAGGGTCTCCTGATCAACTTTTTCGACCATTTTTGGCCGAGTCTGCTCAAGATCCCGGGTTTCTTGCTCGAGTTTATCACACCGATTATCAAGGTTAGAGCTCTTCTCCCATTGAGACGCGGCCTGATCAAAGTCGAGCGAGCGATTGCCAACGCACTCGAGTCGCAACATGGGTGTCTCGGGTGTCTTTGGGCCTTGCTGTTGCCCTTGTCCCAACCACATCACTCTCTCGTTATCCAGGCATCCAAAGGCAAGGCACCGAACAGATCCGTCATTTCGTTCTTCACCATTCCCGAGTATGAGGCCTGGAAAGGAGTCAACAACGGCGGAAAGGGCTGGACTATTAAATACTATAAGGTAACGTCTTGATCGTCGTCAAGCCACCTGTGATTCTCCAAACCTTACTCACGGCGCATCGTCCCACGCCGCTGTCAATGGTCTCCAGGGTCTGGGTACCAGTTCAGGCCCCGAAGCCAAGGAGTATTTCAGCCGCATGGATCTGCACGTCAAGCCCTTTGCAACCATGGAAGGCGAGGACCGATCGCTTGTCGAGCTTGCCTTTGGCAAGAAGAATGCAGACAATCGCAAAACGTGGCTCGGCAACTTCCAGGTGAGCAACCAAGCTCACTGCACTACTCGACTTTTCCGTTCGAGTGGACCGCCATCATGGCATTCGCCCAGGCCTTTCGCGAGCCGATATTCGTCCTTGGTGCTGTGCTAACCGATCGCCCCTTCTCTCCACCCCAAAAGCCTGGAACGTACATGGACAACTCGGTCGAGGAAGTCACGCTCTCGGACTTTGTCAACAAGGAGCTTATTTTGTTCTCGATGGCAGACAACATCCGCTCGATCCCGTCCCTGGTCGACGGCTTCAAGCCGGGACAGCGCAAGATCATTTTTGCGTGTTTCAAGCGCAACTTGAGGAAGGAAATCAAGGTGAGGGCCCTCTATCGAAGCCCGGGAAGCAGCCGGTCCATCGAGCGCAAGATCAGCTTCAACTGCGCGATGACGGAGCGGTCGCATAGACCATGCCACCTACTAGAACGCTACTGACTGGGCCATCTTTGGCGTCTTCTTTTGGATCACAGGTCGCGCAACTCTCCGGTTATGTTGCCGAGCATTCTGCCTACCATCACGGCGAGCAGAGCTTGAGCTCGACCATCGTCAACCTGGCCCAGAACTTTGTCGGCAGCAACAACATTGCCCTTCTGGAACCCCACGGCCAGTTCGGTACTCGTTTGACGGTATGCGCCAATGCAGACGCGTTATATTGCTGGCTGAAGTGTCGTGATTTGAGGCGTCGTGATTGAAGTGCCGTGATTAAAGCGAGCTATGATTTCCTCCATTGCAGGGTGGAAAAGACGCCGCCAGTGCTCGCTACATCCACACCAACCTGTCGCCGATTACGCGAGCTCTCTTCCCCGAGGATGATGACCCTCTTTTGAACTACTTGGACGACGACGGCCAGTCCATTGAGCCGGAGTGGTAGGTTGTTTGATCGGCGCTGCTCGCATCTCCGCTCGGCAACGCATCTCTCCTGGGGAGACCATTGTACTCTGCGCGAGATCCTCTCCCGAGCTGGGCGACTCAATGCGCCATCCGAAAATCGTATTATAGGTACGTCCCCATCTGCCCGATGGTGCTCGTGAACGGATCCGAAGGCATTGGTACTGGATGGTCCACGTCGATCCCGAACTACAACCCTCGCGATATTGTCGAAAACATCCGCCGCATGATGCGCGACGAGCCCACGCAGCCCATGATGCCATGGTATCGTGGCTTCAAGGGAACGATTGTGGAAGCTGCTCGAGACCGCTATCAAGTATCGGGTATTATCGAGAAGATCGATGATCAGACAATTCGTATCTCTGAGCTGCCGCTGAAAAAATGGGTCCAAGACTACAAAGAGCAGCTCGAACTCTGGCGCACGGGCGTCCCGGAAAAGAACATTCCGCAGATGATCTTGGTAAGAAGCTCTGCGCTCGCGTCCATCCACTTGATGACGGGCCACGCTCCGCGGATCGCCCGAGTCTGGATCGGCTCCGTTTGTTTTGCATCGATGTTGCAGACGAACTGCATCGCTCACGGCCTGGTATTGCCCTTCGTTTCGTGCACCCCCTCAGGACTTTTACGAGTACCACACCGACTCGATCGTCCACTTTGTGATTGAGTTGACTCCGCAGCAGATGGCTGCTGCCGAGGAGGAAGGGTTGGAGAAGCGATTTAAGCTCTCCACGACGCTGTCGACCTCCAACTTGGTCTGCTTCAACCAGCACGGCCGGATCCAAAAGTTCGAGAACGTCGACCAAATCCTGAAAGAATTTTATGGCCTGCGTCTTGAGTACTACCAAAAGCGCAAGGTAAGTCTTCACGACAGTGGATGCATGGATACGAGCCGTATGTGGCCCAGATCCACTCAGAGGGCATCTTCCTCGTGAGCCGGGAGCTGACGCCTTCCGGCAACGCAGGCCCACTTGTTGAGCGCCTACCAGAGCGATCTCTTGATTGCCGAGAACAAGGTCCGGTTCATCGTCGAGATCAACGACGGCAAGCTCGTTGTCCAAAAACGCAAGCGCGTCGACATTGTGGCCGACTTGCGCAAGCGCGGCTATGCCGAGATCTTCCCGAACAGCAAGGGCAAGAAGACCGAGGCGCCGGCCGAGGGCGACGACGCGGCCAACGAAGACGAGGCCGAGCGCGAAGCAGAGGACGAGGCCGAGTCCAATGGCTCTGGTACAAAGGGCTACTCGTATCTGCTGTCCATGCCCATCCACAACCTCACGGCTGAGAAGGTAGGGATTGTGATCCAGCTCATGCCCGGCGAGATCCGAGTGCGTCGTCGCTGGCGCAGGATCTTGCCTTGCTCTTGGCACGGGCTCAAGAGCCACCCTCTACTGACACACGAGCGACCCACTCCTTCCTGTGCGCCTGCAGGTGAAAGCACTGCAGGAAGAGGAAAGACGCATCCAAGACTTGATCAAGGATCTGCTCTCGAAGTCGCCCAAGGACCTCTGGCAGGCCGATCTCGATCGCTTCATCGTCAAGCTCGACGTGAGTACTCGATGCCGCTGCGCACTCTCAAACAGACACTCGACGTATCCAGGACCCTGGTGCTGCTTGGCTCGCCGCCAGTATATGTTGGCATAAACTGAAGCCTATATATCCGATGGCTCAGGTTATCGAAAGCGATCTTGAGAAGCTCGAGTCCCAGATTCCGGATCCTGAGGCGGGCATCACCGGCACAGGCCGCCCGAAGGCCAGAAGACCTGCTGGCGCAAGCAAGGCCAAGACGTCCACAGCCACAACTGCCGCCAGGAAGACGGTCAAAGTCGAAAAGGATGAGAAGCCTATCAAGGCCGAAAAGAGCCAGAAGCCCGTCAAGGTCGAAAAGGATGTGGAGTCCGTTGTCCTGGCGACCGCCGAATGTGAGAGAACTCCGCAGTGCCTTGCGTCTTTGTTATTGCTGCGAGCCAAACCGTCAATGCTATGATCCGTGCGCCACCACCTTACACTGCAGCTACTCACACACGACTTTGCACTTGCTGGGATCTGCCACAGCTTCCGAGGACAAGAGCACCCCGTCTACGCCGGTCTTGACCAGTACGGCCGTTCCTAAAACGAGGGTCATTGGCGCTGCCGCAAAGAAGGCGCGACAGGCCGGCGCCACGGTCAAGAGCGAAGCAGTCGACAGCCAGATGGAGGATGTTGTTTCTCAGGGTACCACGCCCGTTGTTTCGCCACTCAAGCGTAAGATCGAGGACGATGACGACGAAGACGAGCCCCTCGTTGTTCTCAAGAAGCCCGCAGTCAGAAAAACGACTGCTGCTCCCGCCAAGACGACTGCCCCAGCCAAATCGACTGCCCCGGCCAAATCGACTGCGGCCGCGAGAAAGCCGGTCGCAAAGTCCAGACGCGCATCTGCTGCCAACAGCGAGGATGACTTTGAGGACGAAGACAGCGGCAGCAACGGCAGTGACGACGACAACGAGCCCGTGGTGACAAGCCGCACCGAGGCCCGGCCCAAACGCAGCTCAGGACGAGGCGCGAGGCCCGTGTACACGATCGCCGACAGCGACGACGACGACGAGACATTTGCGGAAGACGACGACGAGTGAGAACGAGACGCTTTCGATCTCGTTGCCGTCCCACCCTGCCTTTGCGCACCAGATCGTTCACAAAATGAAGCAGGACACCCTGGCTCTGCGCTGCATCAGACGACGCCTTCGGAACCAATGCGAGTGCTCGGTTGTGTGACGGTGCGTTCTTGTGTGACGCCGTGTTCTTGTGTGACACTGTTCTGCGCAGCACTCATTCAAGTGCGGGTCGAGTGCGGGTCGAGTGCGGTTGGCTCATGGATCACACTGTGTCATCTTTTCTTTTGGCGAGGCCGAGAAGGGCCGCGCACACACACACGCGAGGGGCCGAGAGCACACAGACTGCGTGTCCACCAACGGCGGCGTCCGTCTCGCCCGCGCTCTCGCTTGTCTCGCGCCGCCCCTCGCTCTCGCTTCGTTTTTGCTTTTTCGGAGGCGATTGTTGCTCTCCCGACTTTGGGTCTCTCGTATCCTGCATCAGCACCACCACCACCCCCCGGACAGCCCGCCATGGTCTACACCCGCTTTGCCTCCGCCATCCGCCAGACCGTCGCCAAGAGAAGCATGGCTTCCTCGACCGGCGCCGTCGATGAGTACTACGCCAGCACCATGCTCCCTTCGGCCTATGCTGCTCGCCAGCACGCCAAGGGCAGCGTTTCCTTCTGGCGCAAGTTCAACTACTTCTTCACCGTCCCCGCTCTGCTCGCCGTCGCCGTCTACTCCATGCCCCCTGAGCTGGAGCACATCAAGCACCTCAAGGAGCACCCCAACGAGTTCCACGCCTTCCCTTACCTGCGCAAGAGAAAAGTTGTATGTATCGAGTGACATCCATTCGGCGAGCCCTCGCCCTCCTCGCGCCCACCCGTTTGCTCTGCACACCACCGAGCTCTCGAATCGACCCTGCCCCAAGGCTACCCGGTCCCGCACGCGGATCCTGAAGAACGAACCCTCCCCCTGGATTCGACATTCGCAGAGGCTTCCGGAATCGCTCCCTCTGTCCTGGCGCTTCCGCCGGCTTACCAGCCCGCGACATGGAGATTCCTGGCGATTCAGAAACACTTTTGCGATTGATCCAGCGGGCTTCTGTCGTATCGACTCATTGCCGCGCTCCCTTCGTCGCAAGCCAATGCTAGATCTCTAACGCTTCTGTTCTCCCTGTACTCTGTTTGCTTCATGCAGCCCTTCCCCTATGGCGATGGTGACCACACTCCCTTCCACAGCTCCCACGCCAACGCCGATCCCTCTGCCTAAATATGCCCCTGGCGGAGCGTTGTCGATAGCGGTTTCAAGTACTCTGTCGAAGTGGATTCTTGTCGCTACTCTTTCTCTGGCTCATCTCAGGTTCTCTTGTTGAATGACTCTCATTTCCTTTGACCATGGGGCTTGGGCTTTTTTCCTCTACCTCTTCGTTATTTCTTTCCGCTCAGGGTGGATTGGCGGATGCTCGGCCTGTCCCTCCCAAGCAGGCACCATACCGGGCCAGGGAACGCGACCGCTTCACGCCGGCATTGGAAACAGCGACTCGACAACGCCGTGGCATGGACAATTTTTTTGCGTGTGTCAGGCTCGAACCTGAAGCAATACATATATCGTAAAACGCTGAACCTCTTCTTTTGCAACGGCAACTCAATCTCGATCCGGCCACCTCGATCTGCACACGGCCATCGCGATCGGCATCCGACCCCAATACATGTGGAACGCCAAGAGCGCCCGCATGAAATGGCGTTTCTCGAACCTCCATATCCGGGGACGCATCCGCCCGCACGTACTTTTGCTTCTCATTGAGGGTTGAGCTGCACACGAAAGCAGAGCAGCGTGGGTTGCCCATCGGGCTTGGCATTTTGCACGAGAGCATGCCCGAAGTGTCTGATGCGGTGATTGATGGAGCGGCTGGATGCGCACGGCTTGCTTCTCGTGGAGCTGGCTCTGGCATGGACCTGTCTTGCCCATCATCCACCAGCTGCCCCTGCATCCCATGAGGTCGTTGGCAGATCCGCCCACATCCACGTCCGACGGGACTGCATGCATCGACCTGCTCTGGCACAACTTGCAGGCATCCTCCAAGTCGTGGCATTACTTGCGAGTCCACCTCGTGGAGGAGCTGCTCAAGACAAGATCGAACGCCAGGGCACCGCTCGACAACCGGGAGCTCGAGCATTTCGCCAGCGAGTTTGCTGGGCGAGAGCCGCTCTATGATGCCGTGCTCCTCGATGTCGCTGCCTGTCTGGAACGGCTGGAGCGTTCTGGCACAGAGCATAGGCCGAGCCGCGCCTCATCCGACAAACTGACTCGAGAGATGCACGAACAGTACGAGGAAATGGTGGGCCTGCTACTATATCGACATCCATCTCTTTCGCGAGAGTTGACGACGCTCTTTGGCGAGCTCGTTCCAAGCGGCCTCAGGGCATATGCATGGGAATCGTGTCTCATGGCTCTTCACAGAAACACAATCGTCGACTCGGTATGGTTGCCGAACAGGCTCTTTGCAGGCAGCCCAAAACCGCAGAGACAGAGCCAGTTCGTGCTTGAGCGGCTCGTCGTCGATGCTGCTACGAATGCCGGTGCAGGCCACTGATGCCTATCCTACGCTATGGACAGTCTCGTGGGCTCGATTGTCATTCGGTTCCTCAGGCGGAACCGGAACTCGATCTTTACCACGAGTGCCAGGCGTTTCTCGCCAACAGCCCATCGCTCTTCCGACTGGGATCGTCTTTTCTCTGCCTCAAGAAGATGGAGGCCGCTGTATCGTATGTCCAGACCAACAGCCCGTCCCCCATCCGAGGACGAGCACAACATCGACTCTTCGCGATCGCCGCTGTGCTCGCGGGTGTATTTTGGCATCGCGAACGCAAGCTGGGCGGAATGCATGCCAAGAGGCCCGAAGCCAACCCCGTCGATGCCGTTTCCTGTGCCGACGCTGACCAATTATCAGGCTGTGGAATCGCACCGCAGTGCCCAACCGACACGGGTCTTCTCGTCCACACGCTCTGGAGTCATTTGCCCGGTATCTGGCGAGAGGTACGCATTGTTCAACTGCCATTCTCTGACCACGGAGGCAACTTTGCATATGCCCTTTCGTCACCATTCAGAGCCGTTCATCGACTCCTGTTTGCACTCATTTTCTGTGACTGCAGGAGTCCACGCCCACTGCGGCTGCTCCCGGAGCTGCGTTGTCGCGAGTCCCTGAGTTGTGAGGTGTTCCCACGGTTCTCGTTGCATGACTGGGAATCGTAACCCAATCCAGCTGCGTCTCCAGGATACGTTCGATCTTGTGGACTTGGTTGCCGATGACCTCGAGTTTCTACTGCAGGAACTCGACCCACAGCTTCACTCTGCTCTACATGAGATCCTCCATCAATCGAGAGGTTAGTCCCATGGACATCCGCTTCAGCGTCTCCCAATCGACAGAATGTGTATTGACATGTGCGGTGCCTCCCCCCCCCATAATGCCCACCACCAGCGACGCAAGAGTCGTTGGCCACTAGCCAATATGCCCTCCGAAGCATGCTATCACCCATGGTATCAACGCTATTCACTGGTAGGTCTTGCCGAGATCGCTTCTCATCAGACAGCACAGCTCAACGAGTTCAGATCCTGACGACCGGCGTACCATTCTCGGCTTGGGACTCCAGACTCGCATAATCTGGAGTGTCTTTCGTTTATATTCGATCTTTGGATCTACGGATCCAACGAGCTCCAGAATCGCTCAGATCTCGTTCCGATTGCCAAGATCCTACTGTGGGTCACAGCAGCATCGGTTCTTCTGGCGCGAGAGAGAGTGCTTGGCTGCCTCGAGGTGAGCCCCACAACAGTTCGATCCGAACAACAAATCCGGTCGCCGCCGTCTGACAGTCTGGTAGTCTGGCAATGCCATGAACAAAAGCTTCTCGCTGCATGGAACCATAGGCATTGATATAGCGCGCTCTATAAAACCGTTTCATGGATCCGGGGTTGCACTTTCGTCCGTTCTTTGGCCATGCAGGAGAGCGACTTGATTCAATGTCTCAAGACAACATGCCAGACAGTCCAGCCGCAGCAGCTGCAGCAGATGATCAAATCGCGGTTTTCAATCTTCTATCCAGTCCAGGCCACTCGATTCTTGTCGAACACTCCGCTGGGCGCCTTGAAGCAGCGAACGTACTGGGACTCGGACGCCATCTCGCTCTCAGAGTCTGTCTTGATCCGACAGGAGCAAGAAGACCTGGACCAAGCAGTCGATGTCTGGGTCCGGCGGAGAGAGCAGCGTTGTAATCGAATCGCAACGCTGATGAGGCGTGAGTCCGCAATGCGCATCGTACGGAATGAGTTGGAGGGACGACTTTGTTAGGGAGGCTCCGTTGCTTAGCGGTAGTTTGAAACAAAGCACTCGTTGATGCCGATTTCCAGGAACTCCTGACACAACTTGACTCGATTGGCCAAACAGGATGGAGGTCTGTGGCCAAGAGCCTGGCAATATGGTCGCATGTTATCAAGACAATCAAGCAGCGGCAGCGGACTCGGCCAGTGCAGAGTAAGTTTGCAGATTGCCTCACACTCACTTGTTCGCAGGCATGGCATCTTTCATAGGCTAGCAGCAATGCCCTGCTGGGACCATGATGTTGCTTGGTGGTCTCACGGTTCTCGGTACCAAGTCGCAGGACCCATACCGATCCAGGACACCGAAAGCATCACAAGCTCCAGTGCGCACCAGGAGACCACCGACCATGTCGGCATCATGCTCGAGAGTCAGCCAGAGTCACTTGAGAATATCGCAATATCTCCCCCTGCCCTCCCAAGCCACAAGCCGTACGAGGGCTCGATCTTGGTTTACCCTGGCACGTAAGTTTTGACATGGGCAGCCACAGCCACTGTGGACCAAGATTTGGTTGCTTCGCCAGTCGAATCCCACCCAACACAGCGCAACGCCATACCAACGCTTTCGTCCCTCCAGGCTCGCAGGCGAGGAGTACCAAAGTCTGAATCCGCTCGGCCAGCTTCTGAGGGATGCCATTCGCAAAGTGCACTATGGTGGGTCTCGATGATCCGCTCGTAGATTCTTTCACTTCCCTCTCGGCTCATTCCGCGGACACTCGCGAGCCAGTGAGCGTCCCCACGCATCCTCGCTACCCGTGAATGGCTTTGTGGAGTGCCCTCACTGATTCCGTATGGCTTCCTCTAGCCCTGAATGGCCAGCAGCCGACGTGCCATCCCGAGCTCGTCGATCAGCTTTCCCATTGCATCGACCTTCAGAACCGATTCCGCAAAAGCGCCTTGAAGGTTCAGCAAAACGCATTTGGAAAGGTCCTCAGCAAAGAAGAGTTCGCTGCGCTCAGCAAGCCTGCTCTCCAGAGGTACTATGAAGCGCTGGAGCAAGAACGAGACACGGAACGCGATGCCGGAGCAGCCGCCGGACTGGAGCAGGAGCATCTCCAAGGATGGTAGGCATTGCAGTTTCGTTCCTTGAACCTGATCCGTGTGCAAGCGAGTCGTCGACTGTGGCTCTCTGCCACGGCTCATGCTGCCCTGCTCGTCATCGGCGTTACTGAGCCCGCTGCTCTCGCAGGAGGCGTGCTGTACACTACTCCAGGGGCTTGCACGCCAGCCACGGTCTGTCGTCAATCCAAGACATGGTCAGCCTGGCGTTCAGCAAGCTCGAATACGGTACGACTGGCTTTGGCTGCATGAGTCTCTGTTTGCGGCTGCGTTGCTGCTGCCACTGCCGTCGAGCCATTTGTGCCCGTACATCGTGGCTGATGTTCTTGATTTCCAGTGTTTCACGGCAGCTACGAGGACCAGTTATCAAGCCAACTCTATGCCCAGTCATTCGCGGACTCGTTTGATCGCTCGGCCCTGCTCACCCAGACTGGTGTTTGGGGCAGCACCTTCTCTAGTCCTTTGGAGCTCTGGACTCAGATCCAGCCGGACCAAGATACCCTGGGAATGAGCTCGGTTGACCAGAGAGCCGAGTCTAAGCGCCGGAGCAAGCGCGACCAGTTTTTTCGGCGAATGAACGCCCTTCAGGATCAGTTCGCAAGCGAAATCACGTTTTAGTGGGGAGAGTGGACCAAGTTCAAGAGACGCCCTTCGGGTCTGCGGATGTCGGACATCATGACTAGTGCTGGCTGGCCCGAACTGCAGCTTCGGCAGGATTTGAAATCTTCTGGAAGGTCTGGTTCAGAACCTTGTAAATCTTGAACCGAGATTTGAGCTTGGATGACTTGATTTGCTCATCCAAATCTGTCGATGCGATTTCGTCGTCAGTCAACCAGCCCCGCGTCCATGCAATCGCGATTAACCCGATCTGTACATCTCATCGCGTGGCTGAAGAGCTGTCGAATATAGCTAGCTTGAACACCCGCAACATTATCTGTGCATGCACGATGGATCCGTGCGGGGCCCTGGCGTCTTTGAACCTGAGTGACAGGCTTGCCAGGTCTCGGCCTTACCCTTCAAAACAGATGTGATGCTTTCCTGCAAGAACGGAAAGGCTTGCCAGATGACTGACAGGGTGGGGATGATCGAGTTGATGGTTTCAAACGATACGGGCTCCTGGCCCTCGTGATAGTCCAAGAACCGCAGCGTCATCGATCGAATCTTGTGGAAGACACTGTCCTGGAGGATCTGCAGACTGGGCTCACAGATTCGGTGTTGTGGGTGATGGGATCTACATTAGTTGCCACGGCCTCGTCACTATGTTGAAGGTCGGAGATCTGTATTATCGAGACATTGGCAGGCATACCCACCTTTTGGCTATCGGATACGTCGCCGCTAGCTGAGCCATTAGATGGATGCCGAATGATTGGTGGTACTCATCGGGCTGTTTGAGGAGCTCTGTGACAAAATCCAGACACACATCTAGGTCCATGAATGAAGAGCGGTTAGTCCCTCCTTCGATGAGGCCGCTTTTGACACACACGCATCGCATAGCCGGGAGCTGGGACTTACGCATCGATGGTATGTTCTTGACGGTGTCTTTTATCAGCTCAATGCGGTAGCCTTGGAAGTGGACGAGCTTGATATATGTCGGGTTGTTGATGAAGAGCTGATGCAGAAATTTGTAGATGATTGCTACCGAGCTCTCTGGGACACACCGTTGATTTTGGTCGCGTCAGTGAGTCAACAGTCGCAGAACCACTCTCCCTCCCCTGGCTCGGGCGGCTGCTGGAGACTCACCGCGCTCACGGTATTGGTAGCATATATCCAGCAGTCGCTGTATGATTTCGGTCTCTTGGAGTGACAGTAGGGCATATTCGGTGTTCTCCCGCTGCGGCTGGCTGGAGAGTGCTGGGTTTGAGGAATTCAGCAGCGTGCGCTTGATGCGATACCGCGAAACAAGCATGAACGAGCGCAGTGTCTAGAGTTTCAGCAGAGGACGTTAATCTCTAGTCGAGTCTCTGATCGCGCTCAGCAGCGCAGGATACCGAATGTCGCCAAATACGTAATGTGTTGGGCGCTTTGTCGCCGATGGACGCACCTCCAAGAGCACCCTCGTCAGCACGTCTGAATCGAAAACGCGAGTGTTGCAGTCCAAGACCTGTATCGGATCGTTGATGAGACTGTCCTGCGTTATCCTGAAGACAATGTCAGCCGGGGACCGTGCGAAGAGTAGCTGAGCAGGTGGGTGAATCCAGATGACATCGACACCACAGACACCACGAACACCATGCACATGTTGGTGGGTGTACGCACCCTTGGCCAGGACAAAGTACCCGAGCAGTAAACATCCACAGCTCGCGCGGACAAGTGTAGCCAATGTGCGCCCAGAGCCGTCGAAAAGTGCGTTTCTCAGACAGCGAGCTTGTGGCCGTGGATTAAGTGGAGACAGAAGATTCGCTCAGTATATCGCCAGCCAATGCTGGAAACGTTGCCGTGTCCTGGCAGCAATCTGCATCGACTGCGAAACGTGCTTTCAGCACATGTTATACCGGAAGTACTTACACATCGGGGTTGCTCAGAAACCCACTTAGCAGGGCCCGCAGCTCGCCTTCGTAGTGATAGAGGACCTTCCATGGCTGCACCTCTTCAGCCAGTTGCCATGCAAAGCGTCAGAGCACGAATGAGAGGATTCATTCGTCACCCAGTACTGGTCCACAGAGTGTCTGCCTGCCTGCATAAGAACGAAACTAACCCGTAATGCCATCCTTAGCGAGTATCGTTGTGTCATGAGTCGCCCTGGTTTGGCCGAGGAATATCAGTATGTAAGCGCTTACGCTCCAGAGACTTGGTCCTGCACCGACCAACGAGCGCCGCGGCCTTCATTTCTCCGCCAGCATTCCCATCCACAGGCCCGCATCCTACAATAAATTGAGGTCCTCTTCGTCCAAAAATCGCTCGCTATCCCAGAGCTCCAGAAACTGGGTGGCAACCATGGAGGCGAGATGGGGAAATATCAGCTTGAACGATTTGCCGCCATCGTGCCGCTCGGCAAATCCGAGGATGGACTTGATCGGGATGACGTTCGCCAGAGAGTCCGAGAAAGGCGCTGCGACGGAACGGACTGAGGTTACTGAAAGCACCCTCCATCCAGTCCAAGTAACTCTCGGTCCGATCCAACAGGAGATCGGGGTCGGCGCCTATCTTGCTGGGGGGGGGATAGGCACCTTGAATGGATATCATTTTGCGGTCCGAGTATGCCCGCTCGTTGAAGAGAATGATGTAGTACAGCATCAAGACGTGCTTGGCTTCGATCGTCAGCATGCTTGAGTAGAGCGCATAGATCTCGCCCTCGGGGATAACACGAGCCGGCCGCCAGGGGCTGAACGAACTGAGGAGAACAGAGCATGCTGGTTAATTTTCGCGGCCCAGCCGACGCAGAAACAGAATCGCCATGCGCTGGTCTGACTGCGGCTGAAGCTCGATCGGACAACAGCTGTCTCGGCTCGGCTCGACAGCGATGCAGCGAACCCATTGGTGCTGGCCACATGCCTCTCGATGCTGCTCTTGATCAGCTTGATGATGAACGGCTCAAGCGGCAGCCGCGCGGCGCACATCCTGTCGTGGAGCCAATGTCGCCGGGGCCCGGATATGCTCTCGTCGCTTGGAGACTCTTCATATTTCAATATGGTCTTGCTCGGTTGACGATTGTTCAGGTGCAGACACAGGACAAATCAGCCTCTGGTGGAGCGAACGGGTATGAGGATCGACTGCAGCCTTGCGATCGAGACCCACCTGGTGGTCAATGTACGAGTCACGCTCCAGCAATCGGCCGAGCACCGAGCTACGATCCATCGGCTCTCGTTGTCGTCGTCGCTGCTGTCGTCGTCCTGCAGCTGTCGGAATCGAAACAGCGAGCTGATGCAGCACAGATGAACCTCACGAATCGCCCACCCCCACTTTGGCCAACTCGCGCCACGATTCCAGGACGGATGCCACGTGCCCGTGGCTGTCCTGGATTTGCCATGAATGTGCTTTCGTTGGTGTCAGGAAACGTCATGGGCCAGGATATGCTTGGGCCAGGATGTCTTTGGATCAGGACACCCTGGGCCCCGGCGTCCGTGGGCGATAGTCTGCGGATCAACTCAAGTCGCCTGCTGCTGCATGAAACCGTTTGGCGCAGAGGATGCCTTGGAGTCCGAAGGCGGCTGCTGACGATTTTGCATCCAGATGCTGGCGCCAAAGCCAGCATCCGCCGGGGCGTTCTGGGCTTCGAACTCGGCCTTCCGCTGAGCTCGGTTGCTGCCCCTCATCTCAGCAGTAATCGCACGGCCTTGCAGCCTCTACTCAGCCAGCCATGTCAGTCCTGCGCGATGAAGAAGACAATCCTATGAAGCTACCTGAATCGCTGCTCTCTGCACCCGCAGAACAGATCTCGCCGTCGTCCAACACCGCTCAAGGCATCCCGTTTTCTCCTTCGAGCTCTCCGCCGGCGTACTTTGTCGAGCCCGACGCGCCGCCCCCTGGAGCAAGCCCGGCCCCAAAGCAGTCCCGCCGACGTAGGGCTCATCAGAGCACCGAAAACATTTCGGATCTTCTTTCAGACTCGCCGTCAGTGCCAGAACAGCCCAGCGTATTGAAGGTAATAGCGGGCACGTCCGTTGAGGCTGAGGGTTTGATTGCGGTTGGGGGGTTCGATTGCGGCCCCAATGCGATGCTTTCGCTGGATGAGAGCCGAGTTGATCACTCTCGAGGACATCGGCTGCATTCCACACCCCCGCCGACACAATGGATATGCTGATTCTTGTTTCACAGGCGGACGTGAGCAACATCCCCGGATCCAAGCTCGAGAGCTCCGCCTTCAAGGGCTGGGGCGAGGGGACTGAGAGCATGGGCCGCCGACCGAGCAACCGTCTCTCGGAGTCGCAAGCCGAAACAGTGCGCAAGTCCAGAGGCGACATTGACGACGAGAAGGAGTCGAGGTATGGTCAGTTCGGGGGCATAATGGCTCCGAAAGCTTGATACAAGCGACGAAGGTCGATACGGTGACTCGAATTATGTTCCACTAGTGATGGGCTGGGCATCACTAACGTTTGTGTCGCCGTCAAGATGGCAGAACAACCAGACCGATGAAGGTATGTGACGAGCTGCTGGTGGCACACTCCTATATGCATAGAGCAAAGGCGTCGACCGTCGTTTGATCGCCTGATCGCGGTCGTCTCTGCTCAAGCCAATCTATCTATCCGTCCATCCATCGAAACATGCTCATGGCATCCGTGACTTGCAGTGACCGTCATCATCCCGGACTTGAACGACGTCGAGGACGACGAGTTCTTGACAACAATGGCGTCTGCACCTGCAGTCAAGACAAACGCCGTCAAGACCATCAACGAGCTCGACAACGAACTGTCGCTGACGATGATGGGCAACATGTATGAGGTGGGTACCTGATGTCTGGTGGCGTCTTGGACATGTGCGTGGGAACGGGGATGGCAGGAAATCCGCCAGCTACGCAAACACTGCTACATCCGCTCCCGGCCGGCTGTTGAATCGATGGGATTGACGGCCATTGTGTGCTCACACTCGGATGTCGCCCTCCCCTCTGACGGCAGGGATTGGACCTCAAAGGCATCGACCTCTCGCTCCTGGCCACTCGTGCACTGTGCACTCCACAGGATGTGATCGAGCACGATACCCACTGGGACTGGGATGTGCTCTTCACCGAAATTGCGACTCAGATGGAGCAAATCGATATGACCGCTTCGGCTGCGGAGGCTGTGTCGGAGACATCCAAGGGAGCATCCAAGGCGCGCGAATCGACGGCCAAGGACGCCGCAAACTCGGACGCCAAAGCACGGGCTCCAGTCGAGCTCCTCTAGAGCCCATCCCAGCCCATCTGCTGGTTCACTGACGCTCTTTCCATCAAATCGATAGCGCCAAACAGCACCGATTGAGTACACAGTGCTGGTCCGGTGCCATCTCCAAAGACGCTGCAAGACGCTTGTATTTTGGGTGCTTGACCATGCCTTTCTCCCTTCTGTTTGGCTCGCCAGCGCTGAATACAGGCTACTTGTCCTTGAGCTTGGCGCCTTCGCGCTGAGCAGCGCGGACAGCCTGCACACGGGCAGCGTACTGTTTGAGGTACGGGTGCCGTCGATTGGGCGTCGGCTTTGTCTCGACGCCAAATCCAGGGATCTTGAGATTATAGTCGCGTTCTGTGAGAAAATACGACGACGTAGATGTGAACGAGATGAGGGCCCCGAAATCACAAAGAGAACAGAGGCGATCCGGAATCGGATTGGGTGAGTGCACAGAGCAATGATTGCGTCGTAACAGGCAAACAATCGCGTCCGCTCATGGCGCTCGCCGATGCGGCTGTGCATTGCTACGGCTGCTAAAAGCACATGCATACCAAGAGGAATGGCGGCGTCTCGGATCTGCAATGTGTCCGATTGGCGGTGCTTGGCGAGCCGGCATGCAAACTCGGTAATCTCGGTGAGGAAAGCAGTGGATACATCCATGAAGAGCTGCAGGGGATGTAGGGTGTGAGCGCTTTGGTACACAGAACAGCCTTACCGGGCCACACCGTCACCCGTTGCTTTGGCGGCAGGCATCCGGGCTCAAAAGAGTATCTGCATCCGTGGACAGGCCATGTACCTCTTCAACCTCGGGCTCAAGCCAGTGGTCCGAGCCCAGCTGTTTGACCAGGTCCGAGAGCGCCTCCTTTGAGAGTGGTGGAGAATTGGAGAGTTGCTCGATTTGGATCCGCTGAAGCTCGGCCAGGGTCCGGGCCTGAGTCGACTGAGCATCCGGTGGCGTTTTGGACAAAGGTGTGGTCGACGTGGTCGAGCCAACGGTCACAGACTGTGAGCCCAGCCTGGAAGCCAAGTCTGATGATGGCGAGGTGCCCAGCGCCGACTCGGCAGACTTGTCATCCCTTTTGGTCATAGTCAGGTCATCCGAAGATGCGACCGAAATCAATGATGATGATCGCTGGACTTTGGGCGTGTTCTTCTGCAGCTTGGCGATGCCCGGTGTCGCCTTTGGGACTGTGGTGGCTGAAATTGAGGCACTGGTGCCCGTGGTCATCGCAGCTGTTGCCGCCGCAATCCGCGACTCTGTCGTCTGCGGTAAAGATGCGGCGGCGGCGACAGCGGAGGCGAGTGCTGGGGCCTGTGTCTGCACCTGGGTTGTGAGCGCAGATCTTGTCGACTTTGTCAGGACAGCCTGGGCAAGTGCTTGAATTGATGGGTTCTGCGTCGGAATCGATGTAACGGCTCTTCCTGCAGCCTGGGCACCGGTCTGTCCCTGCAGGCTGAGGCTTTCCGGTGTCTGCTGGAACATTTGTTGCTGGCGCGAAAATACGGGTACCCCCAATGTCGACATCGCCCCGCCTGTCGATAGGGCCGGGGTCGTGGACGCTCGAGTATTTCTCTGAGACGAGTCTCCGGCGGGTGTCTGCGTCTGCGATGTTTGCTGTTGCTGATAGGCTGTGTGCATGAGGAGAAGCCGTCAGTGTCCGATGCGTGCACCGCCTCAAAGCCGGATCCGCCATCCCAAGCCAGTATGCGATCAGGACTCTTTGCCAGCCAGCCAAACAACCCAACTCCCCGAGAGCACGCTCTGGCACCAGCATGACGAAAGTGATCCACGCTTGTATGCAGTCGATAAGGAGCCAACATACCGACATACGCACCATAGGCGCCGCCGAGTCCACCGGCAGAAGATGCCGGAGTGGCGGTCGTCGATGCGATAGATGCTGCCGCCGTCGAGACTGGCCGAACTGCAGGCGCCTGTGTTGCTGTGCCGGTTGCCAGGCCTGTGCACGTCAGCTTTGGCATTAGCGGCTGTTCAGATATACCCAACGACTCAACAACGACAATGCCAAGTGAGGGTCCGATCGACGCAATCAACTTTCAGCCGCAGAGGTATTGCCAGCAAGGAAACCCGGCGTCCTTGTCGAGCTACGCTGGATCGCTACCTGATATCGATGAAAGCCCTGCCCTGCTGTTGCCGTACTGCGACGAGTACATCTCCAGATACTGTTGATATATCTGCATGAAATGCGCATAGGTCGGATGTCCTGGCTGTGGGATCGGCAAGTAGTTCAGGTTGGCAGGCGGTGTCCCGGTAAGGCTCGCCAAGGCACTGGCAGCGCTTTCTGAGACGGTCGATGCAGCCGATGTCGGCAACGATGGACTGGGAGAGACGAGGTTTGAGGGTGTCGACGAAGTGCGGTTCAGTGCCGGTCGACCCCGCGGATTGGTTGCTCGGCTGGGGGTTGATGTCGAGAGTGCCGCTGCTGATGTCGCTGCCGAGGCGGCTCCCGCTGAAAGGGATGGGTTCGCTGGCGACGAAAGAGCACCGACTGAATCGGGCGGCGTGGTTTCAAGAGTCGCAGAGTTTGATCACCGAGTCCGAGTCCGAGTCCATCGGCGCGCAGACGCAGACGCAGATGACAAAATAGGGAAGGGTAAGCGTCTCAATTACAGATGTATGCCGACGACAGATGCAAGGCTCGACCAGCTCCACTTTGCAGGCCATGGCCACAGCTGCTCCAGCGAGGATCTTGTGGGCTTCTGGGAGCGAGCCGATGCAGCAAGCGAGGCGGACAGGCAGGCCATTACGGTTGAGTCCTGGGGTGCTGTTCGGCGTCGACTGCGGGCGGGTATTGCGTGCCATCAGGAGGATAGACGATCCGGTCCGATTTGATTTGATTTGATTGATTTGATCGGATCTGATCTGATCTGGCTAGATCCAGTCGGACGGCGCCGGCGATGGAGGGAGCAGGGATGGTGACGGAGACGGAGATTGTGCCGAACGGAAGCCGAGGACGACCCAATGCAGATCCAGAGCGGGCAATGACCGAGGAGCGAGGGCTGCTCGCTGCTCGACGAGGACAACAGCGGCTCCTCGCTGGCGATCTGCTCACGTGGCAGCCACCCGTCACGGAACTTGGGGCCGGCCAAGCGATTGTGGCCCACCGCGGGCAAGCACAGGCCGCAGATACTCCATCGCACGATGTAGCTGCGGGGGGAGGGCGGCTCATTTCAGGTTGGAGAGTGCTGTATTCAAAACCCAGGAGTGTCCGTCGTTCGGGCGTCCTGGAACAGTGCAGACGAGCGATGGTGTCAAATACCCTGTCGCCCGATTCCCTCCCACCCCATGCCGCCGCCAAAGTGCGCAAATGAATCGACGTCAGGTGCGCTCTTGTAGTAGTTGTGGTATTTGGCTGCTGGCTGAGACCGGGGCGTGATCAGATCCTGCGATACAGGGCCACTGAGAAATGGAGGCCGTGGGTCAGCCAATACGGCGGAAACTCGAATCAATGCATGCCAGGTTGCTCGCCGCAAACCCTGCCATACCCGGATCCGACAGGACAAGCACCGAGCATCCTCTGCCGTTGCTGGTCCTTCAGAGAGGTGTCGCTGCAAACGATAGGCAAAATACCCGGGCACACAGCATATCTGGGCGGTGCTTACCTGCTCAAGGTCATCGCCCGAACTCGCCGGCCGGAGCCGCTGCTGCCACTACCACCGCCGACGCCGCTGTTGCTGGACTTTCTGGACTTTGTGAATCGACGACGGCCAGCGCCCTTTCTGCTGGTGCCCCGCGACCGCGACGAAGACGAAGGCGACGCAACCGGCGCTGAGCGCTTCCGGGTCCGGGTCCGTGGCGAAGTCGACACAGAGGGCTTCTTGGAACTAAGATTGAACTGATCGAGATACCCCGCGTACTCACCCAGCGACCCCGTCTGTCGCTGGAGCTCCTTGAGGTTCACAAAGCCTTCGGGCCGCTCCAAGATCATGCCTGCCGATGGTTGCAGCGAGTATTCAATCGATGGCGAAAAGTCGTCGTCCTGGGACTCTAGAGTGCCGTCGTCGCCGTCGTCGCCGTCATTCCCATCGCCATTATGCATCAGTGACGGCGAGAACGAGGGCCCCGCATTCACACGGCGCGAGTTGTATGCATTCCGACCAACTTCGCCACCAGGTGCGCCTTCGAACGATTGGCCGTCTTCTACATCGTCGATGACAGTGGGCTGCATTCTCAGAGGCCGGCGAGGGACATGGTTCGCTTCAGGACCGAGTGGCGGCTGCGCGGGCAGCTGCCGACGTGGGGCTGCTCTTGGAACCGACGAGGGAACCGCTGTTAACCTGCCTGTCGAAAACTCGGTAATGTCGTCGGCAAGACCGTCAGACACCTCAGCAGGCGGCTGAGGCTGGAGCACAGGCCGCTTGGGCTGGCATTGAGGGGGCTTTTCGCCGTCATCATCGCTCTCATCGACAATGACACGCCTTCGCCTTCCGGAGAGAGATCTGGCGAGACTTGGAACTGAGCCGTCGCTAGCATAGCCAACAGTCGCTTGAGCGTCAGGGAGGGTTTCTTCGTCATCCGAGATTGTAATAATGGCATTCAGGGATCTTGGCTTGGGCCGCCTAGCAAACGGTGCTTCGTTTCCTTCGTCGTCGCTGAGATGGATCACAAAGGGTGCTGGGGACTGAGGAATAGCACCAGAGAGGACGGTCCATGGTCGCGCTGGCTTGGAAGTGCCGGCCTTTGGCAGCGAACTGGGCCGCGTAGCAGGCACGTAAGACGTTGGAATCATGAGCTGGCTCGCAGCGGTATCTTCTACAGTCTTCTCAGACTCAGTGCCGATGTGCGTGACAACAAGATCCTGGCTTGGGACAAATGCCGACACAATATTCAAGGACGAGCTGGGCTCACCCTCGTCGCTGCTGTTGTCGCTTTGATGAGCATGGTTGTTGTCGTCGCTGATGCTGTGCCTTCCAACCTCATCAACTTTGTCGGTGCTGAGGCTGTCGATGAGGGTGCTGCTGTTCGGATATGGGTTGGCGTCTTCGTTATCCGGGCCATCGATGGCCACATCCACAAGCGTTTCGGCAGCAAGGTGGCCGAGCCCCGATGTGTGTTGTAGTGATGGGCCGTCTGTAGGTCGGACACTGTGAAACGACTGCTCTGCCGGCAGACTATTAGGGCAGGGTGAGTCGTAGCCTTTGTCATGATCCTTCCCGACGCTCTCGCAGCCAGAGTGTTGATCAGCTGTCAGTGCTAGGCTCTGACGAACGTTGAGTGTGTCCACCAAGGTCGAACCAAGAGCGTTCTGACTCTGTGCGTTGACAGTGGGAGGATTTGGGGGCTTGGATGTGCTTTCTATGATATTTGGGCTTTCGTCCCCGTCGTCCTCGTAATTCATGTCATCGGCCAGTGTCTCCATAACCAGGAGATGAGGAGGCAGGGATCCATGCATCTCGCTATCGACACCGCCATCTTGACCGCATGGAATGTCCATCTCATCGACGAGTGAGTCAAGACGCTTGTTCGATGGGCGAGGGTGCGAGTCGGTCGTGAGGAAAGCGCTGTCGGAGATCCCCGACCGATAGTCCGACATGGCGTCCGATACAGGCGACTCGGGATAGAGCGTTTCAGGAATGTACATGCAGCTTGCGATCTGCGACGATTGCGCGGCATCACTGTTCTTGTCGACCGATGAGCCACCACATCGGCTGCCATCAGGAGCACAGATCAGATCGGCCAACTGGAAGCTATCACCGGCATCCGAGTCTTCATCAGCGCAAGAGGAGCCCATCGAGTTCTGAACACAGAGCAGGGGCTTGCTCGAAAAGGCATACTTTGGGTTCCAGTCCAGGCTATCAGCCCTAGAGCCAGATTGTTTTTGTACTTGCCCGGCTGGGATTGGCGTCTTGGCCGAGCAAGCACGGGCACTTCTGAAACTCAGCTCGTGTGACTCAGATTTGTCCAGGATAGCATCTTTCTCGTTATCGTCTGGGCTTGGCACCAGACGGACCCTCTTCCGGCTGGGCTTGAGCATAAGCTCCACGAGCACATCGTCGTCTGCAACGTCGCTTTCTGATTCATCTGTCACGGCATGCTTAGTACTCTGTGCGTGAGAGAGCTGAGCAAGGGCGACGGAGCCGCCTGTGTTTAGCTCCAGGCTGTACGGTGACGGGAGAGACTGGGGATCTTCGAGATCGAGCAGCGCAAAGGAAGCATCAGGGGCGCGGATGTCGCTGTTCGAGGGAACGGCTGTCAGGAGCAGCTGTTGCGATGGCTGGGTATGCGAGGAGGTATTCGGAGAGAGATCTTTGCTGGGCGTCGTACCCAACGACGCTGCTGCATGTGGAATGAATCCAAAAGCGTGTCGATGTTGGCGATGGACTTGCGTTTGCGCTACTGTTGGTTCCGCCAGAGACGCACGGTCCATGGGCATGCTTGCGCTCCGACTTAGAGTGGGGGACTTGAGGCTGTCCGATTTCGGGGATGAACCGGTAGTGGGCGTGCGCCGAGACCCGAATTCGGATGTAGCTTTGGGACGCCGGGACGAGGGCGTTGGATACGAGTTGCTGCTGACGAGCTTGAGTGGCGTCGAGATACGACGGAGCTCTAATGCCCTGGCCGCGACGGCATCGTCGTCAGAATCAGAAATCGGATCAGCAACGCCGATGGCTCGAGGAGAGCGCTGGCCTTGGGCGGGAGCCGAGCGACGCCGGAGCGAGGTACGGGCAGGCACGGAGCCGGCCGTGGGCCGTGGGCCAGCATCGAGGGTTGCTGGGATGATGGTGGAGGAGACACGATCTGGGTTCTCGCTGTGGTCCTGGGTTGCCTCGATGCAAATGCGGGTGGCCCGGGCAGCTGAGCGAGTTTTTCGAGTGGATGCGGGTGCGAGTGCGGCCGGTGCTGGAGAGCGTGCGGTATCTTTGGTAGAGGATGCGTTGGTTGCTGCAGAGGTCCGGGATTTGCGAAGCTGCTTGGTCGTCAAGGCCGCCGTCACTGCTGTCGACGAGTCGTCATCGCTATCGATAATGATGTCGTCGACATCGGTCACCCGAAAGACTCTGGGAGGAGAGCCCAGGGCGGCAAACGGTCGTGGCGCCGGCACGGCTGGAGGCTTTTCGCGGGTCTGAGGGATCTGTGGGATGTGTTGGATGTGTTGAGGTTTTGCAGCGACCAGGAGTCGAGACTGCTGTGCCTGGAACTCTTTGCGGCTCAATTCAAGCACCCGATGGAGCTCGTAGTCTTCTGTCGATGGCAGCGGGCGGGCCCCGGCCACAGGGTGAAAGGCATCAGAGTCATCGGGCGGCTGGTTGGCCCTGGTTCGCCGAGGTCGCCGGGCCGTTGAGTCATCGTGGGTGTGGAGGAAGCTCTTGATGCTGGCTTGCGATTTCGACTGGCTCTGCGAGAGATGCTGGGGCTCCTGCGATGCCGGAGGAGCCTTGCGGCTGCCACGACGTGACGAGGAGGTGCGGGGCATATCCAACGAGTGGATTGGAAAGCCAGGAATCGGACGGGCAGCGGCGAGCAGACAGGCAAGCGGGACGAGGAAAGATCGCCGACGAGCAGGGCCCAAAGCTGCCGAGATGCAGAGGACGAGGATGCAGGGGAAGAGGATGCAGGGGATGCCGAGAAAGCGGATGCAGAATCGGCTGCTGCTGCTGCTGCGCCAGGGCAGGGATTCAGCGAGGTTGATGGAGGGTTGGGGGAAGCCGGTGAGCGAGAAGGCAGGCGGGATGCCAAAGGGCCAAGCGACCCTTTTCGCGGATGGGCACAAACGCGGCAAGCAAAGCGGGCCGCGAGTGACTTGGCGCTGATCTGGACCAACATCATGATCGACGGCTTCGTCCTGGTCCTCGGCCCGCCCTGCGTGGACATGCTGTCGATCCCGCTGCCATCGCTACCGTCGCTGCCGTCGCTGCGTTCACCGGGCCGTGCTGCTCTGCCCAGCAACGGCCAAGTGCCGCCGGGCTCGAATTCCTTGCGTCTCTTGGCTGCGCCAATCACATTCCGCATCGACAACGCAGCGCCAATCTGCATCTGATTCTCCGTTGCCGCCGGAGCCCCAAGTCAGCCGTCCCTGGCATCTCGCCCCCGGTTCTTCTTTGGCCTGCAAGCCACCCATTTGTCCGTTTGTCCGTTTGTCCTTTTGTCTTTCCCTGGACACAACAGATCGGTTCTCGGGGCACAAGCGGCCTCACTCTCCGTCAACGGGTCTTCATCGCCGCCAACCCCAGGCCCCATATCCCCAGCACCATGTTTTCCAAAAGCAAAACCAACTCGGAGAGCGGCAGCAAGAGTCGCTCGCTCGACTCGCTCAAGGTGCTCCCCAAAGTGATTGCCTCGGCCGAGATATCTTCGCCCACACAGCAAGCAGCCTCCAAACCCACGGGCATGCTCGCTCCGTCGTTTACGAATCTGGCCCGCACCAGCTCGCCCTCGGTCATGGAGCAGGGCTCTCGCAATGTGAGCAATCGGTCGCTCCTCGATACCTCCCGCTCTGGTCCAGAGCACTTCCACATCCGCATCAACGACCAAACACACATGCAGCTTCCTGTGGTGCCGTTCGGTGCCTCCAACCACAGCCTGAGCAAGCCCCAGCACCTCGACTGTCCGATATCCGGCTCGGTACACGTCAGCACCATAGCGCCATTGACAAAGGATTCTGAGGGGACAGCCGAGGACCGTGATCACCTCGGTGTTGGCTTTGTCTTCCGCAGCCCCGAGGTCTCGCATCCCAAACTTGACCGTCTGCTCACCGGCATGCTGTCCGTTAAGCGCCGCAGCGTTGCGTCAAACTCCTCAGGGACATCGCACAAGAGCGAATCCCGAGGGGTATCGCAAATGGGGCTCGAGGCCGATGTGATCGAGCTGGTGCGATCGAGGTCGATCCGACCAGAGAAGAGCAGCATGGGCGTGCTCTCCGCCTATGGGTCCGAGTTTGGGCCAGAACGGCCTGCCTTTGCCTCGGACCTGCCCGAGCCGCTCCTCAGCAAACTCGACACGGCCGTCAATCTGAGCTTTTCGTTCCAGGAGCTTTCCACGAAACTCAAGATCTGCATGAACAATCTGCAGCTCGGCCCGGAGCTTGCACAGCTCGCAGAGCAGCAGCACGATCCAACAAAGTTTGATTTTTCGGCCAATCTCACCATCCCAGGCAGCTATCTGGTGCAGCAATCCGGCTGGAGTGAGCGGATCCGGTCGGTATGGCGGAGGCTCCGGGCACTCTTGCGCAGCGGCATTTTCTCGGATATCATCGTCAATTCGTGTCCGTCCACCGATCGCCAAGCTGTTGTCGCTGACCCGAATCGAACCTACACCATCGAAGCAGGGAAGTTACCGCTTCTCCCGGAGGAATACGACAACCAGGATATTCTGGCGATCGCCATGTACTACTTTGAGTCCAACCAACCATATGTATGCGCCCACTATCTCGAGATGGCGGCCCTGCAATCCAACCCAATTGGCGCCTTTCTGCTCGGGATGCTGCTCTTGCGCGGCGATCACGACGAGTCAACGAACAGAAGCGCCCGCAAAGCCTTTCCGGCGCGTCCCGGCGAGGCGTTCAAGTACTTCATCAAGTCCATCAACTTTGCGATCCTGAACTTTCCGACTGTCGACCAATGGTACGCTGTGAGGAGCGGCGGGTTGTCCACCAGCCCATCTGCCTTTGACCGCTTCTCGCTCCACCCCGTGTCCGAGTCCCGGGTGAATAGTGTCAGCGACGACAACAATTGGAGCCTGCGCTCAAGCCGATCTGGAAGCGGACCCATGCGTAGCAACCCTCCAAAGGACACCATGAAACCCAAAAAAACAGCGCGACTCAAAAACGTTGGGATCGATCCTGCAGGCGATCTCGGCCAGGACGGCAAGTCCAGCAGTATCTCGCCAGAGGGTCCACTGCATGTCGCAAGCGCATTTGATCCAAGCCCGTCCAGCCGAGCCGGCGACCTTGCTCGGAGCGTCATCGATGCCGGCACCAAGCCCGGGCCGAATCTGGTCGCGCACTCGCCGTCGTTTTGCTCCGATACATCCCATGTCTCCGAGCCAGCAGCCCCACCCATTCCTGTGATTGAGGTGAAAGGAGAGTCAACGCCACCGCACACGATGCCGAGCACAGAGTCGATACCCGCTGCCGCCCTCAGCCACCACTCTGTGTTTGGCTCCCAAGAAGCAGTGTTTGTGTCTGCGGAGGCGTCCGGTCTTGCCCGTCTGCCAAGCCAAAAGGCCACCCTGCGCACACCTCCGGCATTTCAGCTCGGGAGCGACAAAGTGGCCAAACGATCTGCCTCTGTCAACACACTCCGGGACATTGATTTTGCAAAGACGCTTCTGCCGATGCCCTTGTACGAAATGGGCATTTGCCTGCGACACGGCTGGGGCGTGCCGCCGTCATATCCGGCATCGACATATTTTTTCGGACTCGCCGCTCGGCTGGGCGACGTTGATGCCCAAGTGGAGTACGCCTACTGCTTGAAGAAGGGCATTGGCATCGAGAAGAGCAAGATGGAGGCGGCCAAGTGGTTCCGGAAGGCACATGATCAAGGCGCCTCCATCTTTGGCGAGAGCTGGATCCACAAGCAGAAATGGGGTGGCCCGTCGACATGAGGAGATCGCACCGGGATCTGTCGTCCCATGGCTCTAGTGCTGGTTCACGAACGCGCCGAATCGAATCAAGCCCCATGTCAGGCCGGCTCGGGCAACACACAGGCGATCCTGTCGATGCCTGCATCTGATGCATATGCCGATGAGGCGAATGGAATGTCGATGGCGACGCCGCTCGCAGAAGAGGCTAGCTCGACTGCAGTGGCCACGGCCGATGTCCAGACCCTGCCGGAACGATCCGTGGCAAGCCCTCGTGCACCTTTCTCGCTCCAATTTCCAGCAAACATGGTTGTGCCGACTCACGACCGATCGCACCATTGCCTCTCCGATCAAACTGACAAGGGGATCTCGGCATTCGGATTTCGGCATTCGGATCTCGGCACTCGCAAAGGGACCCGAGGCGACATTTACTGAGAGGCTCCCGCGAGGGGGGGGGATTTCCATCAGACCACGGTCGAAAGTTCATGTACCCACAGTCTTGTACAAAACATCGGGATGCCACAGCCCTTGAATACAGCCAAATGATTCACTGCCTCAAACCATGTGTGGTTGTACACAGCTTAGTTGGAGGCAGACTATGACAGACCACATACCCGGCTGAAATGTGCCCCATTTCTTCTGCATATACGGCACATTGCATGTTCGCCAGCAAACGCCCGATGCAGCGTGACCGCCACGTGGACATGATTTCGTATTTTTGCCTGGGTTGCAGCATGGCGGTCGTCATCAGGCTCTGATCCAACCTGCATCGCCCATTTTGCAAACTGGCTACCACCATCCAGAAGCTTGGCCGCAGCGCCATCCGCACCAGGGCGTGTACATCCACGACGCTGCTTCGAGACAGAGGCATGAATCCAGCAAGCGCAGCCTCGCTCTGGAGCAGCCCGACTGGCCGTGCTGGCCCTCTCTCGCAGCCGCCTTCGAGGGCTCTGTCCCGGTCCTCATCCCGAACGGGATCGCCCACAGGCGATCGTCGGACAAGCCTTGGGCCCGACGACAGCGGTCCAAGTCAGGCTGAAAGCGATGCCTTTCTGCACAGAGCTCCGATTGTCTTTGACGCAACCGTGAATGCGCACATGAAGAACCCAATCGCCATTCCGGGACTGCACTACATCCCCAATGCCATCACCGAGGAGCAGGAGCAGCAGATATTCCGTATTGTGGACTCACGGCCATACTCCACAACGATTCACCGGCGACAGCAGTTCTACGGCGAGCGATACTACCACACGACACATGATTTGACAGCCCTGCAGCCCATGACCGAACAGCAGGCCAAGCTCCAATCCTATCCGCTCGAGGATATGCAGTGGCTCCTTGACCATCTTTTGCCCAAGGTCGCCATGGTCACAAGCGTCGTGAATGACACTCAGCCGCCGACCCAGATCCTCGTCAACGAATACCGCGAGAACATGGGCATCGCCAGCCATTTCGAGGATGCCCTGGCCTTTGGCTCCTACATCCTCACCCTTTCCCTCCGCAATCCCATTTGGATGACGATGAAGCTGCCTCGGGAGCACACCAACCACTGCTCCGACATCCTGCAGCAGACACGGGTGCTACTGGAGCCCCGGAGTCTGCTTGTCATGTCCGGCGAATCCAGATTTGACTGGCGGCACGGCATATCGAAGACCAAGACCGTCGAGGGGCCTGGAGGCATGCCGGCAGTCAAGCGAGATTGTGGCTATCGACGAATCAGCCTAACGATTCGGTATTTGCTCGATGGACGCAAGCGGACACTGTCTGACCGGAATGTACCCTGGGCTCCAAGACCATGACTGCACCCTGTAGCAGCACCAAGATTCCCCCTCATCCTCCCTCCTTGCGGCCACGGGGAAGCAACGCACTCATCGCTCATGGCAATCAGCTTCGTGTATCCAGGATGGGCTATGCCAAGAATACCATCCCGAGGCAACTTTCGCGATGCTCGGTAACCATAGGATATATTTGACATATTTGAGTTATTACGTTCTTTATGTACAGTCGTTAGTTGTGATAGAGTAAGAGGAGACCTAGTCAACCTTGACGACGATGGCAGGCGTCGCACTAGTCGGAGTAGCGGGAGCAGCGGTAGAGGCGGATTCGGTTGTTTCTGTGGATGTAGAAGGGCCCGTGGTGGCAGGGACGGGAGCCGAAGCAGCGGTTCTGACTGCTTCGTCATCAGCAGTTTCATTTTTGGAAGCGTCCTGGTCGACGAGGGTCAAGTAGTTTAGAGGCAATACTCCTGCACCGGGCGTAGAGATGTTGACGGCCTAGAGGTGAAATCGTGAGCGAGTGAGATGATGTCGCAAGAATCGACTTTGTGAGCCCTGCAAAGATTGCGAGGCTGCGGGTGCAGAAGGAGGGCACATCCAGCCGTCCCTGGCACCTGGATGCTGTCGATGATACACACCTTGGCCCATCCATCGTCGAAGACAGACAGCACGCGGATAAGATCGCCTCTGGACGCCGAGACCTCGTCCGAGTATCTGGCATCGAACTGTTTGACCGACATCCAGAGTTGGCCAGTCATGGTTGCATAAAAGGGAATGTGCAGAGGCCCGTGCTGCGACTTTGGAGCCAGTGAGACCGGAGACGGATCTGGCGACGTCTGCTGGGCGGTCAAGGCCTGTGCCTCTCCACTGGCTCTCTGGGCCGCCTGCTCTTTGATTTGGGTGGGCGATCGTCGGAACGGAGTGGTTTGTTTGTAGTTTTTGATCAGCGGCGGGCTAACTTGGCGCCGGCGCATGCTCGCCTTGGTGGGGCCAAGATCATTGAGTTTGACGACATCAGATGCGTCGTGGTTCCGGTGGAAGCGATATTGGCGGTATAGGAGGGCGGCCACGATGCTTGTTAGCAGCAACAGAAATGCTCCAAGACCGAGGCCAGTCCAGAGCGTGACGGAGCGGCTGTCGGGCGGGATTGAGGCGTTGTTTTGAGGAAGCGCAGAGGGCGTTGGTGTCGGCCCAGCCGAGGAGGATGTGAGGGTCGTTAGGGGTGCGGGCGGGCCGGTCGTGCTTGATGCCGATGCCGAGAGCGATGCCACTGATGCCGAAGCGGAGGTGGTGGTGGAGGATGCCGGGGCAGGGGGCTGAGGAGTCGGATAGTTGCCAGTACAGCACGGCTGCTGACTATAAGGAAGTGCATCGCATCGAGGCAAACCCGTCTGGGTCTGAGAGTTCCATCCTTGGGGAGAGCCGGGAGCGCCGCCAAGGGCATAGCCTGCAATTGTAATGTGCATACAAGCGTCCGTTGTGCATGTTAGAACCGATTGCTGAGGTAGTCGACTGTCCAGACCGACCGCTCGCCAGAGTTCACGCCAAGACATGCACGGACGGTAAAACGCAGAGCTAGCAGCGACTCGAAAGTCCGAGCGAGGATCATACCGCAGTATGCACCCGGAGTATTGTCGATGTCTGTCTCGGAGATGCAGTTGCTGGAGCTGCTGCTCTGCAGGGCCTGGCAGCTGGAAAGATACGGGGCCACAAAGGAGGGATCGTTCACGATGGGGACGAGGGGACTCAGAGACAGGACACACTGCTGCCTGAGAACGCTGAGCATACTGCTGGCCGATGTCTGGCAGACCGATGGACAGAGGGCCTTCGGGGGCGTGGGCGCCGGACAGTTCTTTTGCGAGGCGAGGATGTAATATGCACAGGCGATGGGTTGAGTGTAAAGTAAGTCGGGTTGGGGAGTGTATGGCGAGCCCTGTGAGAGCAACAAGCGGAGGAAAGCGTGGACGTGAGAATGCGAGCGCGGGATGCGGGGGACGATGGTCCTGGTTCCTGGAGAGAGAAGCCGAGCATGAGTCAGCGCCGATGCTTGGGCGGACACTTACGCTGGCATGGTATGCGCAGGTTTGGACCTCGGGTCGCTGTGACATGGAAATGATGGCCTGGCTTGCCCATCCCGAGGTGCCATAGAAGAGCGACGACCCTTCAGTCGCGGACTGCGCGACGATGAGCGCATCGAATGAGGCCGACGACGTGATTTGCGGAAAGAGCTGGGTGTCGATCGAGAATCCACCGCTCCAGAAAGGACACGACTGGGACGAGCTGATGGGCAAGCAGCCGGCCAGGACCTGCAGGGGCTGAATCCAAAGAAGGGTGTGGAAGAGGATTGCAACGACCGCGGCGGACAGGTTCATCGGCGGAGAAGAGGACTGTGTCGTGATATCGATGTTTTGACGGAGGAAGGTGGGCCTGGTGTGGTGGTCGGGTGATGTGGGTGGTGGTTCTGCTCAGGTCCTTTCGGCAACGAGAGGAGACGAAGGCCAGGGTTCAAGATCCAGAGGCGTAGGTGGATATATGCAGCGGCCGCAGAGGACAGCCGATACAGCAGGGGTATGGCGGAGTCAAATGGACGGCACCGAGGCAAACCAGAAAGGCTGGAGGAGGGGGTCTGGATCAGCCCGATCGGCGCACTGAGCATTCACGCTGCCTGCAACGAGCCAGAGCCGAAGGTTTGCGCCGGCGAAACGGGCTATTCAACGGCGAGGAGCGAGCCCGCGAGGCAGAAGTCGGGAAAGGGTGGGTGAAGTTGGTGCCGGCCGAGCAGCGCTTTCTTTCCTTTGAAGCTGCCAGGCGGATCCGGAACGCAGCAGTGACGGCGCTGTGATGGCGGACAGGGCTGCCTTGCATCCTGCGGAGGACAGGATTATGATGCAGATCCCTTTCCCATTTATCGACAAGCCAGGCGGCAAGGACGGGATCGGGCAGCCAGCAAGGCCGGCAGGCGATTGTGCGAGCGAATGTGACCTCACGGGAGCCAACACGTGCACGTTGCCATTGGCAGGAGAAAGGGTCACCTGAGCGAAGGCCGATGCCATGAAGGAGAGGCCTTGGCAGAGGCCTCGGACGGACGCGAGCAGCAAGAGCAAGACGGGCAGCACGAGCACATGGACGCGATGTGGCAGCCGGAGAAACGAGGCGACAGACAGACCCGAGAGAGAGGGCGATGCAGGGCGAGAGATGCAAGCGGCGAAGGATGAAGGACCAGCACTCCGAGTGGGGAAGAAGAGACAGCCGGCAGCAGTTGCGGGATCGGGGTGCGGTGGATCGGTGGATCGGTGACGCATCGCAGGAGCTCGATCGAGATCAACACGAAGGGCGCTGGAAGACAAGGACATGGCCGGACGGCGACATGGCCAACAAGACGCGCAACACCCGTGACTGCGCTGGTGTTGCGGCTGAGTCACCCTGCTGCGCAGACAGTTTGTGTGAGCTGCTGTGTTGGCGAGCGTGTGGCGCCACTTCGGTCACGTGTGAGACCACATGACCGCCGAGGCGTGCCTGTGCAAGGGCACCTGACGGCACAGAGCCGTCCATGCCAGGGGGCCAGCCGCCGGTGGGAACAGCGACGCCGCTGCTGAGCTGCCATCGAGGGTCTGTGGAATCGTCGCACCAGGACACGGGATGTATCGGCCACGGCCGCGCCATGCACCGACGAGAAGCCATCCAGGCCAAGCACACTTGGATTTCTCGGTCTCGAACATCAGCCCGGCCGTGCTGCCAACGGCGGTGACGGCGGTGACAGCGGCGCCAGGGTCGACTGGCTCTCAACCCCGAATGCCCGATGGCAAGCAGCACTGGACTCGGTGGTGCCACGTCCGCCTTTGTAGCGATGCTCGGTCCATGATATTGATATTGATATTGTTATTGATATTGATATTTGCTCTCTGGAGCCCAACAGCCCGGCCACAGCGAGGCGGCATTGTTCGTCTGATCCACACTCGCTTCGACTGATCCACACTCTCTTCGTCTGATCCACACTCGTTTCGTCTGATTCGCACTCGCTGCGACTGGCCCACTCTCTTCGACTGGTCCATTCTCTGTCACGCGAGGCTTTTCTTGCGGCGGACCACCCCGTCCGATTCTCTCGGTGCCCGACAATCATTCGTCCTCTTCGTCCTTGTACTGGGCCATCGGGTCGTCGGAGCGCGCCTGCAGCATGCGATACGCTTCCAGCTCTTCCTCTGTGACTTCCTTATCGTTCAGCGAATTGTACTTGGACTTCTTGCCCCTGTCGCCCAGGGCATCGCTGCTGTTGTGATGTTTGCGCTTCTTCTCTTCCTCAAGGGCATTCTTCAGTCTGGACTCGTCGATCTGGACATCGCCCTCGCCGAGACGTGCCCCCCGCGGCTTGTTGTCGCGCTGAGAATAGTCGCCCTTGATCGCCTTCTGCACATATTCGTCGAGCAAGCTCTTTTTCTCGCTTTGGGCGGGCTTGTCTCCCCCGGACTGCTGCAATACGTTCGATGCCTGCTCGGCCTCGATGCCGGCCTTTCCAGTGCAGTAAGAGTTGCGGATGAACGAGTGACAACAGGAGTATCCCCACTTGAAGTCTTTCCAGTAGGAGCCCCAGACCGATGTGTGGTTGAGTGGGTGTCTGTCGTGGCAAGAGCATAACCAGTTTGATCAGAGCCGTCATCGGTTAGTGCATCGCTAGAACTCAGCGTAGACGCAGAGCCGTCTCGCGACAGATACTTTGTCAGATAAAATCCAACCAAAGTATCATCGTTGGGCACGGCTGCTACTTTGCTGCCACCTTTGCTACCATCGCTTGGTTGACACACCGGGATCGAGCACTTTCCACCGAGCAGCCCACAGAGCCCATGGACACGCCTGGTCACTTACACATCCTCTTCGTACTTCGATCTGAGTTTGGCTCTCTCTTGCCCCTTGATAACGCGACCGGTTTGGGAGTACTCCACGTAGGCCTCAGACTGTGCTAGAAGCAGCTCCTTGGGCGGCGCCTGAAGATGCTCTTCACCGCCGTACTTTTGCAGAATGCTGTCCTTGGAGCTATCCGTCAGCTTGTTTTTCTTAGACAGGTACTCCTTGTGCAGGAGCTCTGCCTGCGTGGGGTTGGACTGTATGTGCACCGCTTTTCCGCGCTCCTCGGCTTCCCAGCTGAAGAGCTGCAGCTTGGCGAGGTTGGGTGCGTCGCCCGAGTAGCGCGAAAAGTTGTCGCCGGCAAAGGTTGTCACGCTGTCGGAGCCACGGTCCTTGGTCGGATCGTCGCGCATGGCGTGGGTTTTGGGATCGTAGTAGGCCGAGTTGATGTCGAGATTGTGCAGGTATTTGGCAGTGTCTTCTCGAATACGCAGCGTGCGGACCGTCGTTCGTCGCTTGGTGTCGACTTTTTGTCCAGGCATGTCGACATCGTCGGCGTAGATGTCTTCGTCTTTGTCGCTGTCGCCCTCTTCGTCCTTCTCGATGCCTGATTTGAGCGTTTCCTTGGCGCTCTCCTCTCGAAGCTGCTTCCGGCGCTGTTCAATGAGCTCCCACTCGGCGATCGTCCTCATATGGTCAGTCGAGTCGTATCCGTTCCAGCGATCCCGCTTGGCCTCGAATCCAAGCGCTACATCCCCGATCACCTCGTCTTGCTGGATGTCCTGGCCGGACCACTTGGCTCCGACTTTACGGGGCCGCTCCATGCAGTCGACTGCCTTGTGGGTCATGGCGCCGCAGTTTGCGCAGGCGCCCTTGCGGTACTTGGTCGCGGCAGGTCCTTGCTTTGCGCCGCGAGCATACCATTGGTCGATCGAGTCCTTTTTGTCCTCAAAACGCTGGTGCTTGAGAGTCGGGTGGTCGATGCTCAAATACCAAGGCGCCTGTGCAATATAGTGCGGAATGTGCGGGTTGATGTCTCGGCCGGTTTCGGGATCCACCTCAGCAGGAAGCGTGCCGCTGGATCGAGTGGGCGTAAGTGCGGTACAGAAAGGGGCAGAAAAAATGCCGAGAGTCAGTCGACCGTCCAGCCATACATCCAGCAAGAGCAGCAGATCGCCTGCCCAGAGGGGATAGATTTGCTGCCAGCCATCGGTTCCCCTGGCAGCTCCTCAAGGCGACAGGCTTGAATCGAATCGTCGGATGTGCTGGAGATGATGCGAGTGGCCCTGAGTGAGCACGGCAGTGCTTGAGCGAGACGGCTTACGCTTTTCGTTGCTCCTCGATGACCTTCTGCTTTCGAAAGTCCTCCCGCGAGAGCTTCTGTGACTGCGCTGTGGCCATGGCTGGGTTGATATGTGCTGCTGGATCGATCGATTTGGAGAGTATCAGCGGTAGAGGCCGGGCTCTGAGCAGGCAGTCTGGCGGGCTGGACAGCGGCTCTCGATGTTGATTGATGATGATCGATGTTGAACGACACCGATCGGTTGTGGTGCGGCTGGAAACGTTGTTGGGCAGGCGCGCCGGATCGATCCAGCGCATTCGACTCGGAATGCCGGGATGGCTGGCATGTGTGTGTGTGGTGAGTCAGCGATGTGTGTGGGGCAGGGATGAATGTGATGGTGAAATGACGGTCGTGTACCGAACTTGTCGGATGCGGCAGACAACCAACAGTGCTATATTTATCCCAACGTCCACCTCCGTTCCTCTTGGCTCGTCAGAGTATATTGAGACCATTTGGTTCAGAGAATATGCGATAGCCATTCTGCGCTGATGGCTTTCAGACCTCATTGCGTTCACATTGCTCTTGCCAGGTCCTCCGGCACGAGCGGAATTGCGCCACCCTCGCATCACTTTGCCAGAGCACCTCGGGTCCGCCCAGTCCAGCCAATTTCGAGCCCAGAGATCAGCTGTAGTTCTTCAAAGCAGCACCCAGGATTTGTCGGCTGCCCATGCGGTGCATCAGGATCCAGCGCCGGTTTGATACTTTGTCGCCCTGAGCAAGTCCGGATGGTCAAGGCGCAGGTTAGCTCCAGGGCGACCTCGATCCAATCGGACCTCGATTCCGCAGATATGTGAACCGTTCCGAGCTCTTGACTAAGGCGACCAGGGTCTCGCAAAGTACTCGAAAACGGCATACAGCATAGATACCCATCTCTACCGAGGAAACGTCAGCCTGCAACTCACCAGGGTTTTTAGAATTCGTCCATCCTCTTCGAACCGAGAAGGAAACTGCTCCAGACTTCGTCGCGCAAAGCCCGCCAGCTTCAGCCTCACAGCCGTTGCCATCTTGTCGGCCTGGCTCTTGCCTTTCTTCTTGCCCGAACCCGGCGATTTTATGCTCGGCTGAGCATCCGTGAGGGTAGGTCCTCGATCCACAATCTCTGCGACAAACTGGGCAGCAACGTCGGGAGAATCGTGGCACATCTTGAATGTACTCTTGTCGAGCATCAAGAGCGAGACCACAACGATAAAGTCGATGCTGGCATGGCCGTCGACATTGAACGTGAACGGCTTGTCCGATTCGTGCCCACCGAACTCATCCTCGTCATCGCTGTCGTCGTCATTGCATTCATCCTCGCATTCCCCGCCACAATGATCATGGTCGTGGCTGCCATGGTGGTCGTGAGGGTCGTCGTCGTGATCGTGGCCGCAGCCGCAGTCCTCATCGTGGCAGTCGTCAGGTCCAAAGAGGATATCTTTGAACGCAGCGCGCTTGGCAAACCACCAAAGGACGCGGGCTCTCGCATCTGCATCGCTGAGTCGGTCCGAGAATCCCTTGACGATATCGTCCAGCTCGACGTGCATGGCGTCAAATGGATTGTTGGCTTCCACAAAGCCGTAATTGAGCAGAAGCTCACCGTTGCTTATATCGCCATAGGTGTTGAATACTTCGTCGCCCTTGGCGCACGGATTTACAACGATCATCTCAAGGCTGTCGACAAACTCCTCGAGCGGATTGTCTGGGTCGTCGAGTTCGGATGGGCAGACATCCGAGTCCTGATCGACGCTGCGACCATCCTCGGAGCGGTCCCCATCGGCGTCGTCTGCATCTTCGTCGTTTCCCTCGGCTTCTTCATCAACCACGTCATCGGTCATGTCATCGGCCATGTCGTCAGCCGTGTCGTCGACGTCCTCCCATTCTTCGTCCATGGCTCCCTCATACTCGCCTTCGCTTTTACTGGCGTCTATATCTTCGCACTCGCAGCCTCCGTTGCTGCCGCAGAAGACACAAACATCGCGATCGGCGTGGATGCGGACGTTCTCGGCACCGGATTTGTGGTTGAAGAGATCCGCGAGCGGAACCATCGAGTCACCGTGATAGTCGTCGACCTCAAAGGCCCGCGATTTGATGAGAGAGGCAATAGAAAGCGACCGCTCCATCGAGAAGAATTCGGCTGGAGCAAAGATGGTCGGATGCGCCTGCAAGATGGGCTGCAGGTGCTGCTCGAGTCTGCCCAGAACCACATCCTAACCAGTTTGGGCGATAGATGGTCAGTCGCGGCGCCGATAGAAGTGGCTGCTCTCACTGCTAATATATCCATGGCTCATTCAATCTCTACCTGGGTTTGGTCATGGGGATAGAAGGCAGTAAGTTCCTTGACGTCGTCCGCGGGCCAGAGAAGGGGAATCGGCTCGAAGACAGGAAGCGATTGAAGATAGCCCCACCAGGGCGACTTTTCTCCCTGAGACTGTTCAAACATGATGGCAAGGACAAGCTTCATTTTGTCGGGCACATCATGATGGGGCTCTGAAAACGCATTCGGAAGCGGCGAGCGGGAATGAAGTGGAATGGAGTGGAATGGGCACGGTCAGAGCAAGTCTCGGCCATGGCTTTTGATGGGATGTAGGACGAGGCGACATGTGCTCGCACTCACCCAGGATATCGGCAATGCCACAGTTTTGCCAAGAGAGGATCGCCTCCTTCGGAATCGTGCAGACTTGGCGGCCAGGATAAGAAACAGGTAGGAGTGGGATGAGCCGCTGCGCTTGGCATTGATCAAGCCCGGTCCGGTGAATGGTTTTGCCCGCATGCTAGATTCGTAGAGAATGCGCCATTCGGCTGTTGCGCTTGTCCATAGTCTCGCTTCGAGATACATGACATCGTCCGGTGTGTCATTCAGGGAAACATCGCCGCACAGCATCATCCCGCCCCTTACCAGTCATGTCGTAATCCAGATCTTGCTTCGCGACGACTCGGAAGCAAAATCCCCCTGGTCTCAGATACGTCTGGATCTCGATCAGATCGTGGTCGATTTTGATGCCGTTGCCATCCATCCACTGAAGCAGAATCGCCAGGGAGCGGTTGGCATCCTCGAGGGTTGGGCCTGGGGCCGCGGAGCCGCTGGATGCGGCCATGGCTGCCGGAGGCTTCTTGGCAGACTTTTTCTTCTTGTTGGCCATGACGTCTCGACCTTGGGTGCTCAGGCTCTGCTGGTTGCTCGCAAGGGCCACTGCAGCTGTGCGATGTGGGTGTGGTCGGAGGAGCACACCGGCCGGCCAGCATCCCGGTCAACACCAAGAAAAAAAGAAATCGCCGCGGCAGCGAATGGGAGACGTGCGCAGCAGGAGCGAGCCAGCATCCGGTTCGCCCGACAGAGAGGTTCGATGTGCAATGCGCAATGTGCAATGGGCAACGAGCAATGGGCAATGGGCAATGGGCAATGGGCAATGGGCAATGGGCAATGGGCAATGTGCGGCACGTAACGGGTCATTGCAACAGTGGTGTGTGTAATGGCTCAGCGAGCCTCGCCCTCAACCACGATATATATCTGGCTGTCATTTACGTTCGAAGGATCTGTATTGAGGAAAGGCTGTTTTGTATTCGTAAGCAATTGGGTAGCCGATAGTTTGCATTTTTGTGGTCGGCATAAATTGAGGCTCTTGATATTTGGGTAGCACTGTAATCAGGGCGTGGGGTGAAAAGTTTATCAAGGACCGCCCTCGCCTATCGGGGCGACGAGGCGGGAAAGCGCATGGCAACTGCAGCTGCTCAACAGGGGAGGGTCGCGGAGACTGTGGTGGAGATCGGGCCGCAGGTGCTGACGGAGTTGCAGGGGGTAACTGCGTACTTGTACTGGATGAAGGAAGGGTGAAGGCAAAGTGAGAGTCGGGTCAATCGGCTCTGGGCTGTCGTCACGACAGGGATGATGCTCCAATCCCACTTGCTGAATCCAGCCGCCTTGTTCGGCTTGATCTCGCATCCTGGTATCTGCATATTCCGCCAACGCCCACCACATCCTCCCCATCGGATCCTCCCCATCGGATCCTTACCGCCTGGCCGCACTTGACATTCTTGTCAGCATACAGGACCTTCCAGCTGCCGTCCGTGGTGGCGGGAACACCGTCCGAGACGCTCTTGGCAATGGATACTCCGTTTCGAATGACGTTATAAGAAGCGGCACCGGCGCTGCCTGTCCAGGAGAGCGCAATTTGACCCGTGCCCTTGGTGGAGTTTGTGAAGACCTGAGGAGCCACGGTGATCGTGTAGCTCGCGACAGACGTTCCTGCGGCCTTGGCGGCACTCTGGATCATGGTCTTGACAAAGTCGGGCTCATAGGTGTCGGGGCTCCAATTGACGACGTCGGTTTGGTTGGTGGGATAGGGGAAGCCCGGGAAGTGGTACGAAAAGTATCCGTTTCCCTCGCTGTGGGTGTAGAAACCTCCGTTTCGGGACCGGTAGCGCAGACTCCAGGCCAGGGCTGGGGCGAGCAGAGGCAGGCAGAGAGTCAGAGTCGGTGGCATTGAGTGAACACAGGGCGCATGCACGCACAGCGACAGAGTAATGTAAAGATGCAAGAGGCACAGCCGCAGCAACAGAACTCTTCACGAAAGTGGCTGCCTGTGTTGCGCGCCATGCTTATGGGCGACCGAGGGGACTGTCCTTATCCTCACCTCCAGTGACATTGGGGCTCGCCACGATTTCGTTGAGGAAATTGGTGTACTCGGTTGAGTTGACGAATCCAAACTCGGTAGCCACAAAGACCTTGGTGGGGGCGGCGGCCTTGAGGCTGCTCGAGTCAAAGATGAGATCGGACTTCATGCCGCTGCCAGTCTGCAAATATGGTATGAACAAACGGGCGACTTAGTCCACAACATTTCAAGTGCCTCGAGAACGGAGCGACGCACTCGATATTCTGTGCGCCATTCCATTCGCGGATGCATTGCCTCGCTGCGATGGTGCGGTTCACGAGTGACCGGTCATTACCGAAGAGCCCCAGTAGTAGTGGCGTCCGTACACTGCGTCACAGAAATACACACAGACCATCGAGTTAGCTACGTGTACGAGGAGAGCCATGCTCCCTGGTGCATGAATGCCAATCGAGATGGCCATGGGGTGGCTGCAAGAATTAGAGTCCGTGCAGACAACCCATTCTCGTGTATGCTGCGGCCTCAAACTCACGATCGATATCCTTGTAGGTGAGCAAGCCATTGGCCTGGAACTCGGCCCAGCGGGTATTGTGGATAATATGGGGCTCCTTGACGAGATGCTTGGGGTCGTTTTGCTTGATGAAGGTGGCGACTCGCTCGATCCACGCGGGCGGGACCTGCGCGATAACGATCGGGCGATTCAGAAGAGAATCGGTCTCCAGCAGCAGCAGATGCGATGACGGCCACGTATCCAGATGGGTGGGGCATTGTCGTCTTCGCTAACTCATCGAGAAGCCTCCAGAGGCAACCGGCCTGTATCGGGTACGTACCGTCATGTTGTCCCAGGTCCATCCTCCAAGCTCGTTTCCGATCTCCCATGCCAAGATGGCCTTGTCGTTCTTGTATTGAACACCGGTATAAGGGTTGGTGCGGTTCAGAACGTACTTGACAAAGTTCAGGTAGGCCTTGATGACCGTCTCGTTGTTGAAGAAGGCGTCGTAGTAGTCAAAGTTGGCAGCCTGGGCACCAAGCACCAGCTTGGCAAAGGCCTGGACACCGCCGTGGTACTCCCAGTTGTTGATCATGGGGATGATCAGGCGGACCTGCAGTTTGTTGGCCCAGTAGAGCAGACGGTCGGTTGCGTTGAACATTGCTAGAGGGGAGGGGAAATCATGTCGGCGAATGGGCGGATCAGTACAACGATCGAGGAGCAGCAGGCCAGCAGCACAGGAACAATGTGGGTTGAGCATTACCGTGGCTGTAGACGCCGTTGGCCGAGATGTGATAGGTCGAGGGGTCGTCCGATGGGTTGTTGCAGCAGACGCTGAAGGTATACGTTCTGGCAACCTTGCCGTTCATCAGCGCAATGCTCTGCAGCGCATCGTGGATCTCAAAGTCGTTGGGAGCAACGAGGGTGCCGGGGAGTCTGGCTGGAGAGGCAGGAGGGGAGCCAACGAGAGGGTCAGAGGCGGAGGAGAATGGGACCGGACATGGCGAGGACAGGAGGTCTGTCGCAGCGACAGCGACAGCGGAAGTGGGCTCGACATGCATAAAGGTGCTCGAGGGATATCGCCGCACACTGCACACGCAGCGACTCTGTTCGCTTCGCAGCAGCCACTTACTCTCGAGCTGCAGCATGTCGGGGATGTTGAAGGACACAAACTTGAACTTGCTGCTGCCATCATAGAGGCTGCCGTTCGAGCGGGTGACAAAGTGTTGGAATCCCGTCGTGGCCGAGACGAACGAGGTCGCTGCCATCAAGGCAGCCGCGAGCTTGCACCAAGCCGGAGCCATGTCGATTAGAGCGGAGGGGGGGGGCTGTGAGCGAGAGGAAGCGGGGCGAAGGAGCATCTTTTTATCGAGGGGCGATGTTCCGCCGCTGGTTGTCGCTCTGTGCGACGCTGCGAAACGAGTTCGGCGAAAAGGAGAAGGACAAATGTATCCACGACACCGCCTCTCGTTCCAGCAGCGGCGCAAAAGAAGCATGGCCCCCCCCCAAAAAAACACAGTACATCGGGCGGGTTGGGGGGGAATGTCTCGAGGTCTCTATTCAGAGCAGATAGCAGAGGCCGTTGAGTATGGCACACGCATGTACGATATCGGTCCCAGACGGGGGGCAAAACAAGGCGCACGAAAGAGTACGCAAACAAGGCGGGAGATGTACAATGGCGGGGGGGAAGCTGGTGGTGGGGGGAGGCGATGTGCAAGTTCAGCGACGATTTGCCCTCCCACAGAGCTGATTTGTTCGGTGGGGGGAACCGCCAATTTAAGCGGTGGTCTTTGGTCGGATGACGACTCGGGGCTCCTTGAAGGTCAGAGGAATGAATCCCTTCTTCAGCTCCTTGGTCTTGCGCTCGACGGTGTAGTTGAAGAGGGTCTGGTGAACAAACAGTTTCATCTGCAGAAGCGAAAATCCAAGATCCAGCACGCAGAGTCAGCTCAGCGGGCGGCAAGACACAGTCCGCTCACGCCTGCAGTGGGATATGCAAGCAGCGAAACAGCCAAGCAGCCGTCGGCGAGTCACGCAGCGCTCACCTCGAGCTTGGCCAGGAGCATTCCGATGCAGAGACGGTTGCCACCGCCAAAGACGACATAGGCAAACGGGTGCTGGCGATCAACAGGGTTGTCGCCAATGAAGCGTTCGGGGTCAAACCGCTGTGGCTCCGGGAAGATGGCCGGGTTCTGGCCAATGGCCTTGGCGATAAAGATCATCCAGGATCCCTTCTTGATTTCAACCTGCTGGCCCTTGCTGTTGGGGACGATGACGTCCTCGGTCGTGGAGCGGAGGTTGCCGACGGCAGCAGGCAAGAGACGCATCGACTCCTTGATGAATCCATCGAGGTAAGGCAGGCCCATCAGAGTAGAGTAGCTGGGGTCGGCGCCGACGGAGTCGACTTCCTCCTGCAGCTTGGCCTTCTGCTCGGCAGTAGCAACGTCGCAGTAGAAATGCAGGATGGAGCAGATGCTCGAGGCAGTGGTATCGTGGCCAGCGAGCAGGAAGAACAGCATGTTGTCGATAAGGATATCATCGCTCAGGACCTTGCCATCCTCGTCTTTGCCACCGATGAGGACACCGAGGGCATCTTCACCAAGACTCTCGGCCTCGCCGCTGGCAAGGCGCTGGCGGCGATTGTCGATAATCTCCTGCATAAGGACGATGAGACGCTTCTTGGCAGCCATGGCCTTGCCAAAGGGGGTGAAGGGCAGGTTGTAGGGGATCCAGACTTCGTATCCGGCAATCATAACGGCAAACTCGGGCAGGACCTTCATAAGCTTCTCAAGATCGCCGGCGTTGGAGCCGACGAGCAGGGTCGAGATGATTCTGTAGGTAAAGTGACGGAGAGGGAGGTTGGGGAAGGCGCCGGTCGTGTTCTTGAGCGTTTCTTGCGAGAGAGTCTCGACAAAGTCTTCGGTCTGTTGCTTGAACAGGGGGTACATGCTAGTCAGCTTGCTGCAGGTTGTGATGTAGAGGACAGGGGTGTCAGTACGGAGGCATTCAGAGCACTCAGAGCATTCGGAGCACTCAGATCGTTCAGAGCGCATGTCGCAAAGCCACAAGCCAGAGGACTTACGCAGGAGTAAAAGCCTTGATCAGCAGGTTGCGGAGCTTCTTGTGGGTATCGCCGATGATGGCAGCGACACAGTTTTCGCCCATGAGCTGGAAGAAAGGGCATGCCAAACATCACCGGAGCATCAGTCGACGGATCAGATTCAAGTGATCTGGCCGGAATCTGACCGAGTAAGGCCCGATCCTCTCCAGCGCCACCGGTGCGGGGATGAGGAGCACTTCCACAAACAATGGCACTCCAGCGGATGCAACTTACTCCCAAGAGATGTGTGGGCCAGTGAGCACGAACGTATTTGCCTTCACCCTGGACGACGAGTGGCGTAGCTAGAGTTAGCCATGGCGATGCAGACGAAAAACACACACCCAAGGCGATGATCGTGGATGATCGACGCACGATCGATGAACGAGGGATGGTCCAGCGACGACGCGGAGAGCAAAGCGAGCCGGATGGCCTCCGATCGCGACCACGGCAGCGTGCGGGGTTTTGCCCCAGACAACATTCCAGCGAGGCAGCGGCCAGATTGCGGCCAGCAGAGACGGCCGCTGCACTCGAATTGCATGTGGCCTGCCAGCCGTACCTTGAAGATCCACTTGGACTTTTCGACGCCCAGGATGGTAAGGATGTTCAGGCCGAGGGCGCGGCACCAAGCGGCATCGCCCCAGGCGGGACTGATTTGACCGTCCTTGAGGAAGAGGATGGACTCAAGGAAGGAAAGCTGCTTGAAGTTGGACTTGGAGGAGCTCCAGAGCAGCGAGACAATGATGAGCAGAACGGGGACCGCCAGGGCGCCGTAGATGAGGAGCTCCCTGGGCGAGGCAGCGCGAAGCGCCTGGGAGATGGATCCGGCATAGCCGTTGACCTTGCCGAGAAGATCTTGCATGGCAATCAATCTCGAAGCGGATGGGCCGGAGGAGGAGAGACAGAGACGAAGGCGATCGAGGGAGCCACGGGCGGTGTCGGCAGGACGGGCAGCCAGATGGACAGCCAAGCGGGCAAGGCCGAGCCCAGACAGAAATACCTGGGCGGCTCCTGGGACCGGGCGAGAGCGCGGCCGCTGATTGGCCGGGGCCGGTCGCATGTCATTCGCGATCATTTCGCGATGCTCTGTGCAGCGCCGTGCTGCTGCGCACGTAAGCCGTGTGTGCGGTGTGCTGCGCCGCTGTCTGTGTCTGCACACCGCAGCACAGTGCTGTCGACACAGACTGTGTGCACGAGCTTGCATCACACACGCGCCCGCGTCCAGACGCGCTGTGTATCACTGCTCCGGCTGGCAGCACAGCCACTGTGGGTCCACAAGCTGATCGGCGTTGCACAGCCAGCACACACACACACGCCCCCGCGCCACGCCTCTCACACGCTGTCATCGTCTGTGTTGTGGCTGCCGACTTGCCTTTTGAGGCGATTCGGTCCGCTTTTGGGCCTTGATGGCGCGCTGTTTTCTGACTGGCCAGGCGGCCTCACCCCATGACCTGCAGCCGGCTCGAGTGTGGCTGCAGCCATGGGGCTGGCTGGCTTCACGGCTTCATGGATTCATGGCTTCATGGCAGCCTTGGCCACTGGCACACCACGACCCATTACCCCGCCCCGACTCGCTCAGAGCAGACGCGGCGCGGCCTGATACGGAAACAGAGGCGCTCTATATCGGCGTGTTGAAAGAACCAGTGTGCGCTGTAAATGAGGGTGCTGTCGCTCACAGAGCAATCCTGCCCCTTCTTGGCGCCCTCCCCCCCATTGGTCGATCAATCTATCTATCGCAGCCCCTCTATCGGTGCTTGCGTCCCCACAGCGACGTCCACTTGCGCAGGCGTCGCTCGGTCTTGTTTCCACGCTTGCCGGACATCATCCGCTCGCATTCGCGGTCCCACTGCTCGCTCGAGCGCGGATGGAACCCGTGCCCGTGTCCGTACCCATGCAGATCCTCGGCTGACCGTGCAGGCTCCGAATACGCAGGTTCAGAAAAGAAGCGTCGCTGGATGGTCTGCCACTCGGACGGCGTCCGGGTCAGTGGGACCGGACTGTACTCGCCTTCGTCCACATCGAGGATATCGCGATTCTGTCCAGTCAGCTGCATCTCGAGCTCGCGCGAGAGCAGCATGCTGTCCTTGGACAGCGACGACGTTGACATGTGCGCCATGTACTTGCGGTCCTCGTCGTCAATGACTCCGTCGACAAGGTCGTCCATCACCTCCTCCATCATGGCCTTGCTGGCCGTGTGCGAGACTCGGCTGCGAGGTCCGCGCAGCTGTTTGTCAGAGGGCCGTGATCGGAGGCGTTGGCCATGGCTCTGGCTCTGGCGGCTGCGTCGCCGGCCCTCCTTCACCAGGCTGGACGTTGGAGACCGTCGTCGGTTGACAACAATCCTGGAGTGGCGTCGTTGTGCCTTGATGGTGCTGACACGCTTGTTCGTTTGAAAGTGCTTCTTGGAATCGGTTCGCATCGGCCGCCGAGCCATCGGCTGGGGATCGTTGTAGCCAAGCACGTTGTTGGTGCTCTCGGATGGAGCCATCGAGGGCGGATCCATAGACTGTGCGGTGGGTGGCTCGTGGGCGGAAGCACCAGTTCCCATGAGTTGCGCGCCGACATTCATTATCCGCGTGGCAGTGCCATCCATGATGGCCCCGGCAAGCTCAGGCATACCCCAAGCTGCTGGTGATGCTGTCTCGGCCGACAAGGGCGCCGTCCAGGTCGTCTCGCTGACAACCTTGACTACCGGGGCCCGACTGCTGTTCCATCTGGACGCGCGCGAAGAGTTACCGTCCACAGCGTTCCCCCATGTCAGCCACGACAAGAATGGCTTGGACTGCGGCTTCTTGATCGAGTCGACCGAGTTGGATCGGAGCAGACTGGACTTGTATGAGCCATAGGCGGGTTTGTCCTGCTTGATCGTGCCGTGCTGAGGCCGTTCCGCTTCGCTTTGCGCCAGCGGCGGCATGACCTTCATTGGCCTTGGGTACGTGACGTCGTCTCGGAAGTGCCAGGTTGAGGGCACAATTGGGACGGTTTCACTGAGCTGGATCGGGCGGTAAGCTTCCATCGGATTGCTGGGCTTTGAGGAGGATGCTTGGATCGGCGCAGGTGATCGGCTGCTGTTGGCCGTGCGGGCCCTGGATAGCGTCTGTCCATCCGGTGCCGACTCACTACCGTTCGCATTGGCTTCTCGGCGAGAGCGGCTGAGCATGCGCTTCAGAAAGCTCTTTGTGCTGCTCAGTGGTGTGACGGATGTCGGTGCGGCTGCTTGGGGCGACACCAAACCCACAGCGCCGCCATTTGGGGCCGGTAGCAAGTCCAACCGCTTCGCCTGCGCTTGTCCAGGGGCATCATAGGACCACGAAGGCCGCTCGTCTCGCTCCGATGATTCCGCCATGCTCCCGTTGATCAGGGATTGGTCCCAGTCCCACAGCTCCTCGGAGCGACTTGTGGTCGCCTGATGCGCAACGACTCGTTGGTCATTTGCGCGGGAGCCTTTGAAGGTGGCGCCTCTGCCCTCGACCACTTGAGCCAAGGGTCGTGTGTGGATATAGGTTTCTGAGCCGGGGCTGCGCTCCATCGGCAAAGTGGACTCGGTAATTCGGCCCGATCGGATATCCGACTGAGAGTCAAGCCGGGCGAGCGCTGCGTGGGCCCAGGCCAGCGACAACCCTGGATCCTCAATCGATGCGGAGTGGGTGACATTCGCAAGAGTGTTCCTGTCCATCTCGGCAAGCGGCTGAGGCACAGCAGACATCTCGTTCGTGGACGCAGCGCCTGTGCGTCCGAAGATATCATCGCCGCGAACGGTTCGAGAGTGCACGCCAGTCGGCAGAGGAAGGCCCGACCGGCGCTTTTTGGAATGACCCGAGGCACCCACCGTTGCTTCGATATCGTCGCTGCTCGACAGGAACGTGTTTTGCCGGGTCCACTCGGACGCCAGCCAAAGCGCACCCATGGATCTCGATCGGCGCAGGACCGAGCGATCGCGCTTGAGCGTGTGCGGAGACGGGAGATCAGGGCCGCTTTCGAGTTTTTGAAGATCCGAGATCTGCGGCGGGTCCAGCAGGACAATCGAGTTGGTATTGTTGATGTCGAAGCTCGGAGTCGGCGAGCCAAAGGCACTGATCGGCTGCTGCCCCTGTTGCTGCTGCTGTGGAGGCTGAGTGGACAGCGCGGTTGTGAATGTGGACACCAACGTGGCGGCCAAGGCATATCCTTGATCGGCGACCGCGCCGCCCGAAGCGTTGGGTGTTGCAATCTGCGGAGCAGCGCTTCTCTGGACTGGAAGCAAGCTTGTGGGTCGATTGAGCAAGTCGGATATGGCGTTGGCCTGATTAGAGAGTGTGGAAGGCTGCGGCGAAGTGGGGACAGGCTCGCTGGAGCGGACAGCTGTTTGAGCGACGGAATGGGCAGGCTTGGCTTGGACGGGTGTTTCCTGAACCAAGGCCTGGGCTCCTGGATCAGTTGCTCCGGTCACTGTCAACGAAGGCGCTGGACTGAGGCGCCCGGTAGATGACAAGGCGGGCTGGACAAATGGAGCTGGAAGAACAGTCTTGCTTGTGGAGAGGTCGGCGGAGAGGAGCCTGGTCGTTTCCCGTGGCGCAGCGATTGTCTTGGATTTGGGTTTGGATGAAGACGACTTGGTACTGTCTGACCTCCAGAGCGACCCGGGGACACGGCTGCGGGAAAGGCCTTCGAGTACCTTTGCTGCTTTCTGGGACGTCGAGGTGAGATCGGACGAACTCACCGTTGGAGTGGACTGCTTACCCATCTCGGTCGGAGCAGCAGCTGGACTGATTAGGGCCGCTGACAAAGCTGGCTTGTCTGCGCTGATTGCCTGGGCAGACTTTGGTGGAGACTTGGGCGGCTGTGGTCCATCTAGTTGTTCTTCGGACCGCTGCTGCTGCTGCTGGCGCTGAGGCGAGGAGGGTGGTTGACATGCGGCATCAACAGGGGTTGGCGAACTAGAGACCTGGGAGTCTTCGAGCTCAGGACCTTGGTGACGCTGAGGCGCAACCGCTGTGCTCGGATCGGAGCTGGGACGCGCAGAGTGTTCTGCATCCACCTGCTCGTTTCTGGACCGGGCGATACTCGAATAGTCCTCTCTGGCCATATGTTGAGCGCCACCAACAGAAGCAGTGGTCTGCTCTACCGACGGGGCAGGGACATCTTGGTCTTTGATGCCGGTGGATGGAATATGATCGAGTACGACGGGCGGTTGAGGCGATACCGAGCGAAAGGCTGTCGAGCCTATTAGAGCCGCCATAGTCGGGACGCTGTCTCGGGCGCCGGTCTGAGCATCGAAAGTGCTCGCTCGCTCGCTGCCGCCGTAGCTGAGCAGGATGCCATCAATGATCTGCGAGTCCTTGCCCGAAAACCGGAGTTCGGATGGGGCGATCAGGGTGTTGCGCCCGGGCGACGCAAAAGGACTTGAAGGTGAGTCTCCGATGACGCTGAACGATTTCCACAGGTCTTCTGACGACTTTGAGGTCGACAGAAAGCTCTGGATCAGCCGCTCTCCCCGTCCACGATCACGGTAGAGCGTGGAGGCCTCAGCGGGGCTATCTTCCTGGATAGTTTTGTCGGCGAACAGAGCGCCGCTGTTGGTGACACTTTCAACCACCCCAGGAACACGCTGATCTGCCGACTGGGATACGAGGACGGGAGATACTCGGCTGTTTGCCGGAGCTTGGCTCAGTTCTGGTCGCGGCCAATCCGGTCGCTCTGTGGGTGCATCGGAGTCATCGCCGCTCTTGACCGGTATCTGCGAGCGAGACAGAGTCGCAGCTAGATCTTGGATTTCAGATTCAACATGGTGCCGATCGGCCGAGTCGTCGAGGGAGTCGTCGTGTGAGTCGTCGAGGGAGTCGTCGGGAGAGTTGTCGGCGAGCGGACTTCGCAGCGCCTCTGCGTGGTGGACTGACGTTGGCTTGATGGAAGGACCTCTGCCCTGACCCTGGCTCCGAGCCATCGTCGAGGGGCCATCGACCACAGAGCTGCCAGCATGATGCGATCCGGCGAGGCCATCGGTCTTTTCCTGGGATCGCGTGCGAGACATGTGAGGGAGTTGTGCAGTCCGGCGAGGAGGCACATTGGCCATCGTGCGAGTCCGCTGGAGCAGCCGCGCCGTGCTCGGATCCAGAGCTTCCTTTCCAGGGTGCGAGCCAGCAGCAACATCGCCAGAGTCGTTCTCAAATGAAGATTGAGGATGGGAAAGCGATTGTGAGCGCTGCAGCGAGGGAGCACTGGTGGGCTCAACATCGGCGAACGATTCAAAGAAGCGATTGACGTTGTCTTGAACACGCTGCTCGACTGATGACGATGGGTTATGCAGTCGCGTAGTCGCAATGGGGTTTGAAGTAGGGGAGCCGTGATGGATTTGTCGCAGCCGTGGTGGTGGATATGCAATGTTCGTGATGGAATCGGGCGGACGATCAGACACACAGGGGTGAGTTCCGGCTCGACAATCTGAAGCAACCTGGTCGGCGCTCTTCTCCAAACCACACCGCCATGAGTCCAAAGCATGAGCTGCGCTACCTTGTCGTCGGAGATTGCTGGACGAGTAAGTTTCCACGCCATAGACGGTCGGAATCAGGATCTGTTGGGGCTCCGCTGCCCTGGCAGCCGTGCCTCGACGGCTGCTGTTCGTGCGCTTCGATCGACTCGAGTCCTGTTTCGAGAGCGTTCCCGGCGTCGAGGTCTTGGCAGTGGCAGCTGTGGGACTGCGGAGGGCCCCGGCAGAGAGTGGCGACCGAGCCAGCGGCGAGATCTGGAGCTCCTCGGGCGATTGCAGATCAAAGCTCCATTTGGACGGCAACCCGGCCGACGAGGAGTTGATGGCAGCTATATCGAGACCGCGGGGTGCTGTCGACTCGGGCTCAGCCGAGAAATGCTGGCAGTCGCTGACCAGCTTTTCGGAAGAAAGCAGAGGCCTCGGAGGATGAGCCCCGACAACCGAGTCCCAGTCGATCGAGCCGTCGTCGTGCAGATACATGGACAAGTAGCCATCGGGACGAACAAAGTGTGCGGTGGCCTCGTCCTGGAGCGGATGCAGCTGGCGAGATTTTGCGGCGCTCTCGACTCTTGCCACCACGGGATTCGAGTCAGCCGGGGCGACGAGCTGGGGTTGAGATGAGGAAAGTAATGTCGACGACTGATGTGGGGCAGCCCGGCCCCGGTACTGCCGGACTTTTGAGAGCAGCCCGAGGATCCTTTGTTCGAGCTGCAGCGAATCGGCATCGCTGGACATTGCGGGATTGGATTGGATGTGGCCATACTGGGTGCGGATCGAGGAAAGAAGGCTGGCAAGATGCTCGGCCTGGGCACGAATAGCCAGCCGGAGCAAGCGGGTATGACAGACAGATGCGAACGATAGTTGGAAGCCCCGTCCAAGGTATGAGATTCGTCGGTCAGCATGTTAGCCCAGAGGCAAATACGGCAGCACGATATGCAGGCACTGAGGCAAGCGGCATTGGCAACGCAGCGAACTGAAATGGGATTGAGGGGTCCGGACGGCAAGGTGCGTTACCTCGGTTACGAGTGAGTTGAAGGATGTGTCGTACTGCAGGTGCTGGAACTCGATCGGCAGCGGACGCCGCCGATGCAGCGAGTCGGTTCGTGGAGGCTCGGTGTCGGTCTGCAGACGCCTCTGGGTCATGGTGCAGAGACTTGTGGGATTCGGTTTGAGAGATGCGACTTGCGAAATGCGACTTGCGCAAAAGGCGACGATCAACAGAGGGAAACAGCTGAAACGGATGCTGGGCTGCTTGGGTGTCTATGAGGCGACCGAGGTGCGATGTGGCCGAGAAAAAGAGTATGAGGACAGCGGCGACGCAGCCATGCACACCAGCCGGTGCTGATGAGCGTCTCTGGGCGGAGAGATGGAGATCTGGCCCGGATGCAGGTGCAGAAGGCAGGGCGAGCGGCTTGATGCCATCTTCTATACCGCACGTCCTTTCTGGTTTGTCGACAGCGAGCGGGCCGGTGCCGCCAGCGTCCTTCGCCTTGCAAAACCGATTTCCACAGGCAGCCGCGCGCTCCACCGCACCCACCGGGCCCTTTGCCCGTCCAGCATCGACCGCAGCGGGGACCCACTCCCCAAGCCCGCCTTCCGAGATTCATGCGAAGCTGCACGGACGGGCCTGTTCGGCACCCTTGCTGGGGCTGAAACACTTGCTGCACAGGGGCGCTGTGGCCGCCCGGACAACGGCTCTGTGCCAGGCCATCGACCACGGAGGCCCGTACAGCAAGCGCAACAGCAAGCGCAACCCTGCCTTGTGGGCAGACAGGGGCGACGGCAAGCGGGTACATGCGAGCCCGTTTGCACAGCGGGAGGCTGCCTTGGGCGAGCGCCCCGCAGACCCATGGCGCTTGTCGGCCACGGCCCGGCACCACCGAAAAACGCAAGGTGTAACGTCGCCGGAGGCAAATCCAAGCCCTGGCCAAGGCGGTGCCAGCACAGAGGGGGCGCTTGTTGCTGCCCCTTGCTGAGCAGCAGAGGGGCCCTTTGTCCACGGTGCGGGTGCGTACAGGGTCGATATTGCCGGATCCGGCCAGGACGACGACAAGGCCGGGCAGCCCTGATGTTCGAGCCCTGATGTTCGAGCCATGGTGGCTCGTCCCTGGGCAAGAGGCAGGTTCGCCCCTGGGCAAGAGGCAGGTCCACCACCGCGAACGCTCTCGAGACGCCATGGACATGCAGATCTTCTTCATCCGAACCACCTGCATGCATCCGACCCGACTGAGCCAGACGAGAACGATGCGCACGGCCGAGCTCCTTGGGTGCGTGTGCTCGCTCCGATCACGGCCGCTGCACACAGAGATTGGCTGCACAATGAGCAGGTATGGAGGGTGGACGAGCCGACCCAACAATGGCCACCCAGGCCGTCGAGCAGCCGCGCTGTTGAGCGGCATCGTTATTGTGCGATGCAACATCACTCTGTGTCTGCGATATCGCTGCTCAACCCTTGCATCCTGCACTCTCCTCAACGCGCGGTCCCCATATAGGCCGGTCGAGAACGCGGCCATTGAGAAGGATATTACTACCGGATCCGTCAGCATCAGCAATCCGTCAGCATCTGGGATCTACCGCAAGCGACGCCTCCTTCTCTCGATTCTCGCAGACGAGCGGCGATCGAGTCTGCGAACCAACACTCCTCCGTCGACCCGACTCGGTCCAACTCGACTCCATACCAAGTGCGTAAACTCCTGCGCACCTCGCAGGCAAACCTCGAACCTACCCTGTTCTCTGAAACGCCGCCAACGGCACCCGTCCAGCAGCCATGGGCAAGAAAGTAGCCGCCAAGAATGATCTCCCCGTCCATAAAATCATCATGGTCGGCAGTGGCGGTGTGGGAAAGTCGGCGCTCACGCTGCAGTTCATGTATGGTGATTTTATCGAGGAATACGACCCCACCAAGGCCGACTCGTATCGAAAAAAGTGCACCCTGGACGGCACCGAGTGTTTCATCGACATCCTGGACACGGCCGGGCAGGAAGAATACGCGGCCATTCGTGATAACTACTATCGCAGCGGGGAGGGCTTTCTCTGCGTCTTCTCCATCTGCGAGCAGGAAAGCTTTGAAAACACACAAGAGTTTCGGGACCAGATCTGCCGCGTCCTCGACGATGAGGAGATTCCGTTTGTCCTGGTCGGCAACAAGGCCGATCTGAGCCACCTGCGAAAAGTCGGCACCAAAGACGGCGAGGCCCGAGCAAAGCAATGGAAGTGCACCTACATCGAGACTAGCGCCAAGACGAAACAGAATGTCGACGAATGCTACAACACGCTGATGCGAGCCATCCGAACCAAGAAGGAGGCCGGCGGGGCTGGCGGCAAGGGCGGGGGCAAGGCCAAAGCTTCGGGCAAGAAGGGCGGCTGCTTGCTGCTATGAGGAGGTGCAGCACGCAGCCGAACGGCAGTCAGAGCAATCGAGCTGCCCGCAATGAAGGGATTCGCCAAACGAAACCCACCGCTTCGTGATATCGAGTTCGAATAGAGCCGCAGGCATAGGCTGTGCAGTGCAAACTATTGCTGCTACTGCCGTCGGATGCTGGCGGTGAGCTTGGCTCAGGAATCAGGATCCTGAATACACGTGATCGATATGCATGGACGATGCTCGCAAGCACCGGTATGATCCTCATGGTGCGTTGATGCCCAGGTGGCGGGGATATGGGAGCATGTATGGATGGAGTCATTCACGGAATCGACGACGATGGAGCCCGTATGGCATATTCAGGGACGATGTCCCATTTCAATCGAATGGGTAGCCTGTGATGGTTTGTTTCTACCAAGGCCAGGGAGAGTCCATTGACCTTGGTGCCGCTGCAGATTCTGTCGCCGCTGTTACCGCTACTGGCAGCGTGGCCGGATTGATATTCGAGGCCGATTCATAATGACCCAGGACTGTCCAGGGTCACGGCGATCCACAGGGCGGATGCATCGCTCGAATGCTGTCTGGTGACTACTTTCACGATATCTGGGTGGCTCGACATACCCGCGGCGACTGACGCATCTCGTGGTGCACAATCTCCCCCCACAGCCAATATTGGCCAGTGCCGTTTCGTGTTCTGCGATCTGCCTGCTCTCAGGTTATTATCGGCCTCGGACTGTTGTGGCGAATGGGACGGCAGGGTACGATAGAGTACGGCAGGATACGGAGAGATACGACATAGAATATAGTTGTATTATGATCAGGACAGTGGATTGGCCCACCATTGTCCGGGAAGATTATCCAGGCATGAGGTCATTGGCTCTTGGGGGGGTGTTCGAGACACGACCCAGTCTAGTCCAGGACGGTGAGAGAAACGACCCAGGTCTTCTTGGTAACCTTGGAGCTGACTTGGTGGCCGTTCCGGTATCGCTCCTGGATGAGCTCGTTGGTCGAGTGCCGGTCCCACAGGAGACCCTTGGGAAGATCGGCTTGGTTCAGCTTCTGCAGGATCTCCGGGAGCTGGTCGTCAATCTTCTGAATATCTTGAGAAAAGAGGAATTCGCGAAGGGCAGCCGCCAACATTGCCACGATGATGCCAGGTACCACGAGCAATAAAATAGGCTGCGACAAGGAGCTTCCAAAGGTACCGCCGGTGGTGAACAGCCAAGCGAACCCGCCAAAGACGCACGCCACACCGAGACATATAACGGCCAAGATGGGGCTGTTTCGCTTGGCGAGAAGGCTCTGCGTCAGAGTGTCGAGGCGACCTTGTATCTCGTGTTGGGAGAGACGATGGCCGATGGAGGCGGCGAGCACATTGAGAGGGAGACAGGGGCTCTGGATCTGCCAGGCGTCATCGCCAGAGGTGTAGGCGACAAGAATGCTTGGGAGAGACATATTCCTTGGGACGGAGGTGATGGGCGACCGACTCGGAGGCAGGTGGGCAAGAGCGAGAAGCCCCCCTCCCGACGGCGCCCGGAACTTATAGCGGCCCTGAGGCAAAGCAACGCAAGACTGAGCGGTGCTGGTGATGTGCCGAGGACAAGGCGAGCGTCGCACCGCTCTGGGGATGGCGCGTTGGCACGCACTGCTGACCCGCGGACCCATGTCACACTCCCACACTCCACAACTCATGTATGTCCACCGCTGGATGCATTGTGGTGACGCGGCAAGGAGGGTGAATTGTTCCGCGTGCGTCACCAGTAGGCACACCACCAGCGGATGCACCGCGCGCCCTCTTGACTGAGCCTCTCGCTCAGTCGCTGTGAACCTATCGCCAGGACCTCGCGGTCTTCCCCCGGTGGTGTCGGGTCGTCTTGTGCTCTTGTCGGCAGCACACGATCGGAGTAAAGCGGATTGGCGGCATCGCTGGGGCTGTGATTCAAGTGTCTGATTGATGCCCGGCAATCATCTGTGCAGGCGAGAGGCGCTCTTCTCCATCAGGGGCCGTGGGATGCCCCGGACGCACTTCCACCACCGGACCTCCTCCCAGTCTGCTGCTGGCTCTCTTTGTTGGCAGACTCGTTTCCGTAGCCCGACTGTCGAAGCTACCAAACAGCCCAGTCTTCGTTCACCATCCGCAATTGAGCCCACTGCACACACACAAATGTCAGAGTGTTCGGAGATACCCGAAATCGGCGTGAGTACGGAGAGCTGTGGGGATAATGTGGCCTTTGATTGCAACAGACCTCCTGAGCGAGGTCGCGAGTGCATCCCGACGTGTGCTCATCCGCTCCTATATCTGATGGCAGCCCAACGCCACGAAGGAACTCGAAAGGACTCTCGAGACGCTTTCACTCCGAGGTGATGACTGATAGCTGACGACTGAGCCAGAGCACAGTCGTCGATTGAAACGTGCGATTCTCGGGCTGACCTCTCTCTGACGTTGCGGTGTGTGTCCCCCCAAACTGCTCTCGTGTGGCGTGGGATTGCTACAGATGATCAACTGAAGCAGCTCAAGGCAATGTTGGCCGAGAAAGGTTCGATCGATTCCACTCAAGATCATGGGCAAAGTGCATCCCCACCCTCTCGCGTTTCCAGACACATTGCTTGTGTCTCCTCCGGCAAAGCGATACAGTCCTCTCTTGGCTGCTGTACATTTCGGTCCTTCCACCTCGTTCATATCCTGCGAGTATGCCGAGCCTTTGACCGGCTACGAAGAGCACGGTGTGAAAGTGCCGCCCCAGGAGTCACATCCCGGCATTGGCTTACCCGCACACTTTGTTCTCCACGTCGTCGTGGTCGGGGATCGCAAACAACCGGCGGCCCTGTCCGATCACTAGACGAGGAGCTCGAATCAATGCGCAAGGAGCTGCGCCGTTCTGAGGACAAGGTCGAATCGCTGACGCTCGAGAACCAGCGACTCCAAGAACAAGTCAACGAATGGAAAGCAAAGTCGCGAATCCCAAACACCAAGCCGCTTGAGCATGTAGGCCGCTCGACGAGAGCGTTGGGCGACAACCAGACGGGTGCAGCGGGAGAGCCAGCAAGCGTGTGAGTGCATACGAGATATCGAGATTCGTCGTTCAACAGCGGTGCTGCCGAAACAGATGGGCGTTGCAAGCATCTTCTTGCCAAAGCTCATCGTACTGGTGATGGCGGGGTGCCTCGTCCCTGCAGCCCACCAAATCACGCCCGCATCCTCGCTCCAAAGCCAGCAGCTCCAAATCCGAGATCGTAAGCATCCATGGCGTGTTTGAGCTCATGGATCCGGAGGAGTGTTGGGCTGTACGAACGAAGAGGGAAGATGGTCGCTTCGTGGGAGAACTTTGACAGGACGCTTGCTGAACAAACGAGCATGGATCCCGATATCTCTCGTTCAGATCACCGACTCTACTGCAACTGAGGACACGGCGACATCACCCCATCATCAAAATCTGGCCGAGTCCCATTCCGCGGCCCCGCCCCAACCCACGCCTGCGCCTTCAACTGCATCAGCATCCCAGCCATCCGAGCCGGTACGAAGCGAGCCTGGCTTCGTGTGGAGGATGTGGCCATCTGTGCTGATCGGCCGTCGATAGGCAGAGGATGGTTTGGCCGTTTGATAGCCGTGACCCGCTGGCTCTGACTGGGTATGCCTTGTTTCTTCCGGCGCTGCAACGAACCACACAACGCTCAGGTCGACATTAAAAAGAAGATCGCGCTCATGGGAGGCGTGAATCCGTTTGCTGGCTTCAAGCCTCCTGGACCCATTGCAACCAACCATACCGCTTCCTCTACCGCCGCCTCCGCCGTCGCCTCCGCCGTTCGATCCTCGACGGCCTCAACTGCCTCGATTGGCAGCCCTGCGAGCAACACTTCAGGCACTCCCGGGACCGGTGGGCTTCCGGGCAGTGGGCACCCCGCCCCAATATTAGCCGCGGCAAATCGTCCGCCGCTGTCATCGAGCAACTCCAGCGCATCGATCCAGGTGTGTGACAAGTGGAACGAGGACGAGCTGCGTGAGTGGATCGGGGCCAAGATCAAGGAGACATTGCCCGCGGGAAAGCCGTGGTCCGAGCTGCTCAAAGACGGCCAGGTGTTGTGCAAGTAAGTGCGGAACGACGCATGGCAGATGTGGATGGACAGGCGTGCGTGCGGGGCAGTGGGGCCGGCGAGGAAGGGAGGAAACGAGACGAGAGACGACCTCATTGTTGCCCTCTGAATCGTGTCCCTGTCTCCAACTCTAGACTGGCAAATGGGGTGTGTCCTGGCTCACAGATCCGGATCAATGCCGGCAAGTTCAAGATGATGCACGTCGTGGGTATCTCCATTTAAACGCATGCCTTGTGAAGATTCCTGTGCATATGCAAGTGTGGAAGGGGGGGGGTGCAAGCCAGCTCTGCCCAAGCATATGCTGACTGTTCCTCGTTCCAGGAAAACATCAACGGCTATCTCAAGGAGGTTGAGTCCTTCGGGCTCCCAAAGCAGGCCATGTTCACGGCTACAGACCTCTACGAGGACCAAGACATGACCAAGGTAGCTGGTTGAGCCCGTGAGAACGCTCATTTGCGTCCTCGTGGGATTATAATGCCCGTGCCGCACAATGTGCTCCTCGTTGCTCGGAATATCACAGCATCCATGTCTACACATCCATCGCCTGTATATCGGAGGTCGCTGTCGATACGATCGCGTGGCTCGCAACATTGCAACCGGGGCTGCTCTCGTCGACATGTACTGACGCTGAGACAATCGGTGTGGCTTTTGCTCAGGTATTTCCGAATCTGGCCACCCTGAAGAAGCTCTGCGAGTCCAAGAAGCGCTGAGTGCGGCATTGTAATGTGTGTGGTCGTGGTTTATGCATGTGCATGTGCGTGTGCGTGTGCGTCCGGCGAGTGGGAGTATCGATGAGCCTGAGAGAGCACACTCGTGGACGAAGAACCGTGTGAGACTCAACCTAGTCAAGACCGGAGGAAAGGACGGATGCTCTTGAAGGAGCAGGCTTGTATTTCAGTCGTCGCATGGATGGCCCATTGAATTCAAAACAAGCACACTCGGGACGGGCGTTGCTGTGACAGACATGGACTGGCTCCAAGGGCTGCACAAATGCGCTTGCAGCGCCAACAAAAGCAAATCACATTGTTCTGTCTTGGATCGCACCGGCTGAGAGAGAGAGAGCATTCATCGCTGCCATAATGCATATCGTAAATACCATCCAACAGCTGCGGTGACCATGTCTTTCGAGTGTTGGTCAGCGTCACGCTGTCCGCCGTGCTCACGAGGTTCAAATGTCGCGACTGCCAAACATGATCATCCTCATTCCCTCCTCTCCGACCATGTACACCAGCATCACCACCATCAGCGATACCACTGTGGTCTGCAAGCTTGTGCCACCAAAGATTTCAACGAGCAACATCGCAAATGCCGCGGCGATGGACATGACGCTCTTGATGCCGACCCACCAGCGGAGTTGCTTCTGCTCACTTGGGGCGTGTCGGTGGTGGGAGTGGTGGATGATATGGTGGTGCAAGATGTTGATGAGGGCCGTGGCGATTGCAAAGACGATGAAGCTGCTGATGAGGAGTGACTGTGGCGAGCTAGTCGTTGCAGAGGATGGTGTTTGTAGGCTCGATGACGGCGAGGTTGTTGGCGACGGCAGGGCTGATGCGCCGCCGTCGAGGGTAATAGAGCCAGGAGAGCCACTGGGCTTGATCGGCGGTGGGAATGCAGCATTGTTCATGAACTGGACACATATTTGCAGATAGCAGACGAGGCAGATCAACGCCCCTTGGTGCGGCAAATAGACCCAATAGAGCAAGGCGTGACAGCGATTGATGCGGAGATGGTGCTGCTCGACTGCTTGCGAGTCGACCAGGCCCAGCGGAAACTGCGCTGAACCAGGGTCCATGGTGAGGGTCCGACCCATATCGTCGCGAAGGAACGAGCCCAAAGGGTTCGGCGTCCACTGAAGTATGAGGTTGTGGTTTGGGCCATTGTGAACAAGCCGCTCGAGACAGATCAAGATCAGTACCCCAGAACACGAGTAAAGGTACTGAGTCAGGTTGAAGGACGGCAGAGAGGATCCGATCTGCTCCCACGTCAGGTCAGAGTTGATCGGGAAGAGCCCAACGATGCCGAGCAACAGAATGATCTGCGTGGTGAGCTTGACAGAGTGGTTGATGTGATTCCAGTCCAGGATGAGATATCGGGATCGCGGGTTTGATGTTGGCGGCGGTTGAGCAGCACCGGGGACATCGAGAGCCTCGGAGGGCGGAAGCGACTCTATGCCGACGGGCGGATCAACCAGCTTTGCGGTGGACACAGAGTCAGTTGGGCTCGAGAAGCAGCTGTGTGCCATGTTGAGGACAATCTCAAAGCCGCAGGTGACAAGCCACAGAATCTCTCTGACCCAGTACTGGCTTGGCTGGTCAAAGAAGAGACATGTGATCCAGCCCACGACAGGAAGGAGCACCGACAGACCCCGGACGAGGAGCGGGCGGCTGTGGGACCTGTACCGAAGCATGGTGAATATAAATGAGATCACCACAAGCCCCTTGAGGAGCACCACAAAGATCAGATAGACCTTCCAGCTCGAGTCGACGGTGTTGCTGAAGGCTGGGGCGGTTTGGGCGAGACCAAAGGCGAGCATGATCCGCAGGATGTTGAAAATTATGTATCCATAGCAGTCCTCGGCGTAGAGCAGATCGTGTTCGTAGACGGCGACAGTGAAGACGATGTACGAGGGTACCATCACCATGATGAACTGGAGCAGAGTGTTGAACTGGAAGAGGGCGTCGCTTCTCAGGATCATGCCACAGCGCAGACCCACGTACGAAGCCATCAGGACGGTGATGAAGGGGCTGTCCTTGAGGCGCTGCAGAACGAGGGGCCGTGGGGACGAGAGTGCGATTGTGGAGGACGAGCCCGGAGGAGGGGCAGCAGGGTCGGCGATCCGGAAGGGGAACATGGACGGCCAAGTGAGCCCATCGTGGATGTGATCGACCGTAGGAAAGCAGAGGCGACTTGCCAGGATACGCAGAGGCCACAGGGAGAAGAGCGGTCGCTGGGCAGGCTGCATGCCGCTGACCTCAGCGTCACTTGGCAGGGCGGCGCTCGTGGGAGACTGTGAGGCGATCGGACTGAGGGGGCTGATTTCGTCGGTGTAGACTGGTGCGAAACCGGGGCCATGTGCGGGGCCATGTGGTCCGTGTGCAGGAGGGTAGAGAGCATACGTGGGCGCTGGACTGGAGAGGGCCTGGGACGAGTCGGCAGAGATCATGGGCCAGGGCATAGCCGCGATATCGTGGGAAGGGATATGGGAGTGCATGAAGGCGGGGTGGCCGATAGGAGCCGAGATCACTTGACTGGCCGAGGGAGGGGTTTCGCGGTGCTGCAGCGTGGACCGAGACGAGTAGGTGTTGTAGCGCTCGATGATGGGGTAGGTATCGGTGCGAACAAAGACCATGTGGTCCGGGAGGGTGCTCCGCTCTGAATCCATGAACGGCGCCGAGATACGCGTGGAGTTTGGGCTTGGAGACGAGGCGCTGGAAAGCGAGGATGAAAGTGGAAAGAAAGTGGAGATGGAGGGAGAGATGGAAATGGGGATGAAGCCGAGGATGGAAGCGATGGCAAGCCAGGAGCAGCACCAAGCTGATGGAATACAAAACGACGGCAATGTGGTTGACGTGGGAAATGGCTGTGGGAAATGAGGCGCGCGCGGTTTGTTGGGCGCGCAAGCAGCCGCACTCGATCCGGCTGGATGGGTGCGGCAGCCAATGGGCGCGCGACGATGACGGCGAATGAGCGGGCAAGGGGCTGCGCACAGGCACGGCACAGTCGCACAGAGCACGAGCGTGTAACACAGTGCGACAGTGCAATCAGAGGCGACACACACACACAGCGCCGACGGCGAGAAGGGTCTCGCGCGGCTCTCGCGTGCCGAGACGCGCTCTCGGCCTCGCAGGACCCCAAAGTCTGAAGTGCGTCAGTGAGCTGTTCAGTGAGCCATCCGATGAGCCATCCGATGAGCCATCCAATGAGCCAGTCCGTCCATCCAACAATCCAACAATCCAGTCATCCAACGAATCCAGCCAGCCAGCCAGCCACGAACACCCAGCGCCCAGCCCCATCTTGGCTTCCCTGGGCGGCCGCTGTCTCTTCCCTCCATCGCCCGGTCTCCCATCGCCCTGTCCTGTCCTTGAGCCCGTCCTCGAGCCTGTGACGTCCTTCTCCACCCCCCCGCCTATCTTTGCCATGTCGGTTCCGTCTTCCGAGCAGAAGAACGAGACCTGGTGGATCAACGGCATCTTTGTGCTGCTGGCCCACCTGGTCGCCATCTACGCCTTCCTCTACTACCCGGTCTCCTACAAAGTTCAGTGGCTGACCTACATCTGCTGGCAGCTGGCTACTCTGGGGTAGGTACCACATTTCCCTGCATCGAGTAGAGTGGATAGACGCGACCGACAGGATGCACCATCGGCGCCTGCGATGCTGTCCGTGCGTGGCTGTTGCTGCATCGGACCGCCATCTGAACTTCCATCCGAGCCGTCATCGGGCTGCCGTTTGCGTCCACCCCCGTATCATTCCGTCATCTGCATCATTAGAATCGCTTGCATCGTCTGCATATCCCCCTGCGCTGTTACCGTCGTCATCATCCACCCCATCACCATCCACTCATCGCTCTCTTTACCCCTTGGTCCCCTGGCATGATGTTGCTTGGGATCTCTGCGTCGCCGCAACGATCGATGCCGCACACCCGCTGTGATTCCTCCGATCCACCAGCATCACCATGGGCTACCATCGACTGTGGAGCCACCGAGCGTTCAAGGCCAGCTTCCCTCTCAAGGTCATGCTGGCGCTGATGGGTACTATGGGCTTCCAGGGCAGCGCAAAGTGGTGGGTCCTGCGACACCGCCTGCATCATAGGTGAGTCTGTATCTGGTCGGCAATCTCCCCAGAGCCAGAAGGCGCTCTTCTCCACAGCGCTGTATGTCTCGGCGGGTGTACTGCTTCCTGGTGGACGGGGAGCCGTCCTCGTGAATCGAGCTTCGTGCTCATCGCATCATCGCCATGCTCTCTCTCGCCCGCGATACCAGATACACCGATACGGACCACGATCCATATGATGCCAAGAAAGGCCTCTGGTTCTCCCACATCGGCTGGATCTTTGAGAAGCCCTTCTATCCTCGCATGAAGTACATTGAGCAGGAGGATCTCAACAGCGATCCCGGTGAGTCCTCCCGTCCCTGTTGCTGGCGGCAAAATGCATTTCAAATGCAACCGTGGCGTGCGTTGCCCTTTGCGGACGCCGCTTGTATCCTCGTCGTCAATCCGGGGCCGATCCTTGTCGCGCCAGTCGTTGTCTGGATGAGCCGGAGAGTCTGGCAGTGGATTGCGAGTCGGGACGCCTGGACAGGCGGCAGGATGAGGGCAACGCCCGGATGCATGATAATCAGGCGCTGTGGAACGCGGACGGGCGAAGCCGGGACGACAGGATGATGCTGCTTCTGCTTCTGCTTCTGACCTTTGCTGTCCAATCGACTGCAGTGGTTGTTTTCCAGCACAAGTACTTTGTGCCGCTTGCCTTTGCCTGCGGCTTCGGCATCCCAACCCTCATCGGCGCCTTGTGGGGCGAAGCTCGTAAGTGCTGTTGCCCGCTTGCCCGCTTGCCCGCTTGCTTGCTTGCTTGCTTGTTTGTCTGTATGGATAGCCATCCTGTCTGGATGGATAGCCTGTCTGGATGGATTGCCTGTCTGGATGGCGTGTACAGTTGCTTGCATGGGACTGCACGAGACTGTGTATCGAGCGCGACCGGCGTCGTCATCGTCCGTCGCTGTGTCGCTCTGTCGCTCGGCCAGCGAGCGTGCTTGCGACCGGACCTCTGCGATGCGGTTTTCCCGAAGGGGCTTTCACATGTCGCCGCGGCGCTCCCACATCTGCACCCCCGCACCCCCGCACCCCTCGCTCGCCAGACGGAGGCCATGCTCTTCATGTGCCTGCAATCCACTCTGTCAATCGCTGCTCCCGTCCTTCCCGCGTCGACTGTATTTGACTCTAACGCCGCCCATCCATCTGCTGCCTTCCGACCCATATCTTCATGATGGTGGCCCCATGATCCTCACATCACGGCGTCCTCAACACATGATCACAACGTCCCACCACGACAGTCGGTGCATTCCTCTACTGTGGCTTCATCGCCCGCATCCTCATCTGGCATGTCACCTTCTGCATCAACAGTCTGGCCCATTACATCGGCGACCAGGAGTACTCGGATGAGATGACTGCCCGCGGCAACCTTCTCCTCGCCATCATCACGAATGGCGAGGGCTACCACAACTTTGTGAGTGCTTCCTTCGACCTCGCATTTGGTGCCTGATGCTGCTTCCGCGACCCGCTGTTACTTGATCCGTCTCCTACATCCCCGCCAGCGCTTGTATGGTTGCTGCACCCCCGAGTCTGACCTGTGCGACGTCCATCGCCTCCGTCGATAGCACCACGAATTCCCCAACGACTACCGTAACGGTGTTCTGCCCCACGAGTGGGACCCGACCAAGTGGCTCATCTGGGGCTCTTCTAAGCTCGGCCTGGCCTGGGATCTGCGAATTACGCCTGATAATGAAATCATCAAGGGTACGTTTGCAGATGCTCTGATCTGCACAAGTTCTATCGAAATCGTCGTATTCTCATTCTGCCACTCACCACATCCCTCTGCGTCCCCTGTGTCCCGTCGTGGCTGCTCTCGATTGCTTCAATCGCCCCCCCCTCCACTGGTGTTGTGGTGATTCCGACGCCACAGCCAAGATTCTGACCGCCGAGAAGAAGGTGGCTGAATACCGCGAGCAGGTGACCTGGGGCCCTGAGACGGCGTCGCTCAAGAGCTACACCCCGCAACAGTTCAACGACATGGTGCAGCTGAAGAAGGCCGAGTGGATCATCATCGACGACATCATTTTGGACGTGCGAGATTTCAAGGAGCGCCACCCCGGAGGCGCCAAGCTGATCGACGCCCAGATCGGCAAGGATGCCACCAAGGCCTTCTACGGCATCCTCAACAACCACACCCTGAGCGCTCGCACCTATCTCAAGATGCTCGCCGTCGGCAAGATCGATAGCCACGAGGGGATCATCTCGGGCGAGGGCGACAAGGACAAGTAAATCCCACCGCCCCAGTCGGCTACGCTTCTCTGAAATGTGCAAGTGGAACCCGGAGCTAGCCGCCATGTGAGATCGGCTGCCCGGACAGGTGTTGTGAGCGTGCGTGCGTGCGTGCGTGCGTGCGTGCGTGCGTGTATTAGTGTGTTTGGCTTGTTTGTCTTAGTGCTCTCCAACAGGTTATGAAGGTTTACTGCAGAGACTCATGGCAATGTTGTCAGCTGTGCATCGTCGGCTGCTGTAGTGGATGGTTGTGGAAAGGAGCTGAACTGTGGTCGAGCTGGGCCGAGTTTGGCCGAGTTTGGCCGAGTTGGGCCGAGTTGCCAAGTTGGGCCGAGGGAATGTGCTCTTTTGCGGACAATGCATCCCTCACATACATCGTCGTACCTGCCCATCGAAAACACCATGACTTTTGCCCCTTTCACGATTTCAGTTTGCTATTTTCTTCCAATTCTCATCTTCTTCCCCCTTCCTCAATCATGTGGTTCTTCCGTCCACTCTTCCTCATCTTTGTTCATCCAGGCGCACACCTGTCCATGCCCGGGTTTGATCCTGTGGCCGATTGTTTGGACTGCCTCCTGCTTTTTTCTTTTCTTTCCCTCATTTTCATGCCGTGCCGTGCCCACCAAGTAGTATAGGGGTATATCGGTAACTATACCGTTTTTGAGGAAGGGGAAGACGACGGAAACGGTATAGCTGGTTAACCTAGTGGAAGAGGGGGTAGACGAGAGGAGGGGGCGCAGAGGACGGTAGGGTTGGCGTAACCTAACAGAAGACGGGGTATACCACCGAGTATAGGGGTATATCGGTAACTATACCGTTTTTGTGGGGATGATAGAGATGGGGAAAACGGTATAGATAGCTAACCTAAAGGAAGAGGAGGGGTAGGGGTAGACGAGGGGAGGGGGCGCAGAGGACGGTAGGGTTGGCGGGGTAGGGGTAGTCGGAGGGTATGGCGTAACCTAAGGGAAGACGGGGTAGTCGGGGTAGTCGTATGGGTTGGGGTAGTCGTATGGGTTGGGGTAGTCGTAGGGAATGGGGTAGTCGTAGGGGTCGGGGTAGTCGTAAGCTATGGGGGTGGTTGTAGGATATGGTGTATCTGTTATAGTAGTTATATTTGGTGAATTCGTTGTAGTTGGGGTAGTTGGGCTTTATTGGTGTCATTGTAATAGTTGGGGTAGTCGGGGTATTGGGGGCGGGATTAGGTTAACATAGGTTTTAGGTTAGGTTAGGTTAGGGTTGTGAGGGGCGGGGTGGGCGGGTTGGGCGTGGAAGTCGGGGTTTGGTGGGGTACTTGGGAGTAGTCGGGGTAGTCGTGGGAATTGGAGTACTTGGGGTATTTGGGGTACTTGGGTGTCGTCGGGGTACTTGGGGTACTTGGGGTACTTGGGGTACTTGGGTGTCGTCGGGGTATTTGGGGTACTTGGGGTACTTGGGTGTCGTCGGGGTAGGCGGTGTTCTTCGGGTGAGAGTGGGTTTGCTGATGGAGGCGGGGATGCTGCTGCTTTTATGTTGCTGAGGGAGACGGTGGTGTGGCTTGGTTTTCGGGTGCGCAGTGTGGTCAATTACGTATCTGTCGTTCTATTGGCTATCTGGGATATCTGGGGTGTTCGTTGGGGTCGGTGGTATGGTGGGTCGGGTGTTTTCGTCGTTTTTTTTGGGCCCGCTCGGCTTGACCGGGATGGATCTCGTGTATTGGGTGGTTGATGATATCGCCGGGTCGCAATGCGCGGGTGGCGAGACTCGCGTTTTGGGTAGTTCGATGCAGGGGCTGGGTTTTGCGTTGTCTCTGTGATCGCTACAGGCTTGTGGGTATCCTGCAGTGGTATGGCGAGACCATGCTTCTCGCCGGCGTTCGTCGGCTCTTGCTGTGTCCAGGTATCCAGCGCAGCCAGGCGATGCTCCGCTTCCCGTTTTCCATCTATGGAAGTCTGGTGGTTGTCGTTCGAGCGAGCAGCAAGCGAAGCCCGCATTGGTGTTGCTGTGGTTCCCCCCCATCTGTGTGTTTGTGTTGTCTGTAACCCCTTCAGGTTGGTCCTCGGCTGTTTCGGGCTGTTTCGGGCTGTTGTTTTGGCTCTTAAGTATGTAATCCGGCTGTCTATTATTGAAAAAAGGCCTGTTTTCAAAACACCCGAAAAACACATTTTGTTTCTGAATCAAAATTTTGTTTTGCTATGCAAGGACAGCCCCAGGAAAATCCATAATAGACACCCCGGCTACACAAACAATGGGTTTGCAGCTCTATCTCACCTGAGTGGACAGCCCTCAACATCCCATTGGCCAGCTTGGCGCGTTTGTGTCACTCGGTTGTGTGGCGGTGCATGGTGGTGTGTGTGTGTTGGTGGGCTGGTGGTTGCCCACGCTCTCTGTGGTGGCGATTTGCTTACTGCCTTTTGGGTTACACAAGACAAACCATTTCGATGCACCAGGTTCGATTCCTGCCCCGCCCCGTTGGGCTTTTCTATTGGGCTGGCGAGACCGGGTGGTTGGCATGTCACAGGTCGCAGGTTCGATTCCGGGTCGGCCTATGCGCCCCGGCCACACTGCGAAGGTGGCGAGACTCGTGTGGTGTGTGAGCTGCGCGCCACTGCATCGCCACACAGTAAAGTAATGGGGCGCGCTGTCTCTGTGAAGTGCGCCAAAGGTGACACAAATGCGCTAAGCTGACCAATGGGATGTTGAGGGCTGTCCACTCAGGTGAGATAGAGCTGCAAACCCATTGTTTGTGTAGCCGGGGTGTCTATTATGGATTTTCCTGGGGCTGTCCTTGCATAGCAAAACAAAATTTTGATTCAGAAACAAAATGTGTTTTTCGGGTGTTTTGAAAACAGGCCTTTTTTCAATAATAGACAGCCGGATTACATACTTAAGAGCCAAAACAACACCCCGAAACAGCCCCAAGGCGATGCTGCTAATGCGCCCTCATCCGTCTCTAATGAGAACCAACGAAGAGCTCGACTCATCATGCCCCTGGCAGAAACCACAGCGCAAGCCCGAGGAAAGCATACCTTCCAGTTGGTGCCAGCAGTATGTGGGCATCCTCAGGCACGCCGGGAATGTGTGCCCCCCCCCGGCCCGTCCTATGATTGCTCGGTAGCGTCTTTCATGCTCAGGCCACTCCTTCGGTCATGGAGTGGTTCACGTATATCTGATTAATCCGGCTGTTCATGGAGTGGGGGAGGGTGGGCATCTTCCCCATACAAATATTGAAAGTGCTTCGAAAAATCAACATTTTCTTGATCGATGAGTGCTGGATTCCTTGACACCATGAACAGCCCGATTGTCTCCATTTTGAGGCGTTTTTACACCCCAAGATAATTCATCTCTCCATGGATGTGGAGTGTTGGGGATTACCCCCGTTTGGTGGTGTTTTTATTGGGTTGGGTGTGCTGTGAGAGAAAACAAAGGGCTGGCGTCTAGATTGTGGCACTGGGGAAGCATTTCGCCAAGTGAGCCCATCCAGGCTTCAATGTGAGTCCCTCGATGATGGTCGTAGCCTTGCTTTGGTCCATGTTGGGAGGGAGGTATGCTCTGAAGAATGGAGAATACGTCACGAACTGATCGTAGCAGCGCTTTCCTCCCCATTGGGCACTAAGTGGCTTTCCGCATTTGCGCTGCCTCTCGACGCTGTCCCTGATGGGACGCAAAACGCTGTCGCTCCCGGTCATTTCACAGGCCTCCTCGAAATAATCGTGAATCCAGTTCCCATAGCAGGTGTAGATATCGCTGAGCTTCACCCGCCCTTGCTTCTGTGCGGGGTCCACGTCGAAGCACTTGGTGACAAAGTACTCCACAATGTCAAAGTTACAGAGGCAGAATTGCGTGCTCTTGCGGATGGCGTCTGGGAGGTCGTCGTGGACGCTGAGTGGCTTGGCTTTGTTGGCTGCTTCCGGGAAGGAGTCGATGAGGAGCCCGAGCATCGCATAAATCCAGCTCGTGGTCTTGATCTTCGTTACCAGCTGCGAATCGTTACGCAATTCGCGCTTGCGGAGGGGCTGGCTTTCGGGGATATTGACCACTTTCATGGGGAAGTTGACGATGATCATCCGGCGAAAGAGGGCGTTGATGTCGGCTGAGGCCTTTGCTTGCGCGCTGAACTCTGGGATGGTGTTGGTCGCCACGATCGCCTTGAACTTGGGAATGTAGTCCGAGGCCGGCAAATAGAGCGGGCGATACTCGATCGAGTCGTTGCTCGCGAGCTGCTTGAGGGTCTTGTCGTTCAGGGTGCTGTTGCCCTTGATCTCACTTGCAATCGCACAACGTGCCCTGATCAGCTTGTTGAAGACGTGCGTTACTTCGTCGCCGGTGGAGCCACTTCCGTTGTCGCGCAGCTTGTCGCCCTCAAACGACACAAACAAACCCTTGAGCACGGCCTTGATGAAATTGAGCAGCATCGTCTTGCCGTTTTGGGCGTCGCCCACCAGGAACATGATCATCTCCCCGTTGCGTTCGGCGGTCAGGCACAATGCCAGGTACTTGAGCAGATAGCTCGCGACGTCGTGGTCGTTGTCGAACAGAGCATCGAGATATGCCCCAACTTCCTGGCGAGCAGCGGTGTCGTGGAGTGCCGCGTGGTCGTATCGGGCCTCAAGCGTCGTCGTGAACATGTCCTCTGCCGTGGCCATGCGCCGTGTGCCATCCAGGAGATTGATGAGAGTACCATCACCGAACACGACGCTGTCAGTCGATGTGTCCAGGGAATCCACAAAGGCTTTGTAGCCTTGGCTGAAGACGGTCTTGAATGACGAATAGTAGTTGGCAAGCCCACTGCCGTCCTTGGTGATCACGTCGCGGTGGATCTTGCCGATCTGGGCAACGGCGACACGTGCGTGGGGGATCGCATCGATTTGGGCCTGGTAGAAGCGCTTGGCGGCGTTGAGTGACTTGGAGAATGCCAGGTTTTCGTCTCGAAGAAGGCGGCCAAGGATGTTTGAGAGCGGGAGCTCCTTCCACACTGGAAACTCGAAAAGAAAGCCCATCGTGGTGTTGCTCTCCTCGATGTGCAGGATGTCCTTGAAGTAGATGTAGGCAAATCGGGCGATGGCCATCACGTTGCCGGTCAGGCAGCACTTGAAGGCGCTCTCAATCTCGGCGTTCTCGCTGAAGATGAGTGGGTCCGCCAAGAAGATCTGCGGGTCCTCGATACTCTTGCCCTCGAGCATGTCGATATGCAGGTTGTTGTACTGCACGATGTTGTTGTACTGGTTGAATATGGTGCAGTCCTTGAAGATGTGCTGGTCCGGGTACTGCTGGCGGATGCGGTTCATCGCTGCGGTTACGTGGTTGATCTCACTGCGCTTGATGGCGGCAGAGAGCGGTGTCTTGGATGGAGGGATGACGGCGCCGCAGTTGATGCAGGTCTCCAGGATATGGGCCTTTGCGTAGCCAACGACCTGCCCCGTAGTTTGCACATCCAAGTCGGCTCGAGTGCATCCACCGCACATCACGCAGCCCGACTGGATATCGGCGTGCGCACCGCTGTGCGAGAAGCGTGGGTTGAGGATCTTGCTGGGGTTCTTGCCAAAGCCATCCCGGAGCATCACAACGAGCTCGTCCTCGATCGTATCCTTGGGGGCAACCTGGGAGATGATGCCGTCGAGCTGGGCATCCTGGTCGATCGCGCCCTTGAGCCATTCGTCGATGGAGCCACGCTGGCTGGCGTTGAGTTCGAGTTTGACGGGAAAGTGGCAGGCATTGTCAGCTGCGGCATCGAAGGTGACAATGATCTTGCGATCAACGCACTGGACGCCACCGACTTGCATGGAGTGGAAAGGCTCACGGCACTCTTGCTTGGGGCAAACTACAAAATCGGCCGTGAAGGAGAGCGTCTTCTCTTGGTAGTGGATGTCACGGATCGTCTTGAAATGGGCGCCGACGTGGCCTTGGAAGATGGGCTTGAGGGTCTCTGTCATCTTGAGCATGGTGTTGGAGTCAATCTCAACGTCAATGTCCATGTACACCGGAGTGGAAGACTGTACATGCGACACGATATTATTTGGGTGTTTGAAAGCAGCAGCTCTCTTGGCGGCCTTGATGGCTTTGGCGTTCAGGGTGCTCTTCATGAAGGCCTTGACATTGGCAAGGTCTTGGGTGTACTTGATGGGAGAGTAGGATCCGGCGCAGGCACCCTGTGCCTTCCAGCAGCAGCGCGAGATCTCGTCCTTCCCGAGGCGGATGTACTGGCTTTTGCCGCGATCATTTGCGGTCCCGTCGCGTCCATGGGCACCTCCCTTGAGAAGGCACCAGGGCTGCGTGATGGGGATGGCGCAGAATGGGGCGGTTGCGGAGAGGTAGACTCGGGCTTGGTCGAAGGAGATTGCATGGGCGGTGTTCTTCATCAAAAATCGGGAGCGGATGAATGGCTCCAGGATGCCGCGGATGTCGTCGGGGATCTCGAGTGCGTTGCCTTCGGCGGGCATCCACTCGATCTCGGAGGCGTTGTCGTTGCTGGCGATTGCGGTGGCAGGGGAAGAGGAGGAGGAGGAGGCTCGGATGCGGGTGTGGGAGCGCGGGGGAGTGAGTGGGGTCTCGTTGCCCGTGAGGTACTGGCAGAGAAAATCGGTAAACTCAAAGGCCTCCAAGGGACGACCGGTTGCGGGATCGACGGGGACCAAGGGGCGGATGTCGTCTTCAGAGGTTCCATTGCGCTGGAGGGTCTTGGCCGACAAGATCACACGGAAGTGCGTGTTGGCACTGGGGTCGACCATAGTGGCATCGGCCTTGTCGGTGAACTGGGCAAAGTCATGGGCACTGGCATTAAGGTGGGCATAGATGCGGACGAGGTCGCTCTTGACGACGCTGGTGTCCTGACAGAAGATGTGGATCGAGAGGAAGCGATCCTTGCCCTTCTTGGGGCCAAAGTACATGGCATACTTGATGGAGAGGACCTGCGGGAAGGCGGCCTTGATGGCTCGGTCGCAGTACTGGAGGACATCGACGGGATCGCGGTGTGCACGGAGGTGGCAGTCCACATCAAAGTACAGCTTGGTGCGGGCACCAGGAGGGATCGCCTCATAGCAGACGAAGCGCCTGGAAGGGCTCTTGTTGCGCTTGTTCAGGTAGAGGCCCATGGCTGGATCAAAGACGATGTTGCGGGCGTTGAGGATGTCCTCGACGGTGGTGGCATCACCCAGGTCTTGGAGGATGCATTGGCCGTTCTTGAGCGGGCCGGCGTTGATCTGGGCGACAAAGTCGTCCTTCGCGAGACCAGAGTGACGGGCAGCAAAGCGAGTGGGGACAAGGCGGTGTCCAGAGTGGGCATGGACCATGTAGCTGTCAGCAAGGCACACAAAGCCATTAACGACACCTGTGGGGCTGCGATTCGCAGTGTCTTCGGCAAAGAAATCGATCGAATCGAGATCGAAATCGATCGACATGCTGTCGTCGTCCCGATCGGAGTAAGGCTCGAGATCAGGATCAGGGGAAAAGTCGGGTTCGGAGTCAGAGCCGTAGCCGGGGGCATGGCCAGTGGCATAGGCAGAGTCAGAGAAGGAGTCAGAGGAACGGGCGGTCATCGTAAAATCGATAGATCAGAGGGAGGGAGAGCGAAAGTGCGAGGGCGGTTTGCAGGCGGTTTTGAGGGAGATCGCATGGAAGGGAGAGACATGTGAATCTTGCGATCGGGACAAGAAGACCCTGGCATTGGTGGTGGTCCACTTGGTCCAGCGCAGAGGAAATCCTTGCGTCTTCATGGTCCGTGGCTCTGTCCGAGAAGCGAGATGCAGAATCGGAATGGATGATTGGCTGCTTGCTGGTGCGAGAGGCTGGAGCGAGAAGATGGGAATCGGCATACGATTCAGGGACTAAATGGCGGGAAAGCGGGATGGCGGAGCTAATCGATCTGGAATCTTCCAGCAGAGATCTGCTGCTGGCGGGTTCGCTTGGTGCTGGTTGGCTCTGTCGGGGATGATGGAGTGGTCAGGCTCTGCTGGCGATGCGATGTGATGCTATGGCGCACCACGTATACCCGACTCGACTGGCTTACCTGTGTGCATCATGGTGTCGAGGGCAGGAATTCGGTGCTTGTCGATCGTGGATGGTGAGGGTGTGGATGGAAGGGGGAGCTTATGTGCCGAGGAGGTTTGATTTGGTCGTGGGTCGCCCTTCCAAAAAGGGTTATATTGATTTTCCCATCCGAGATCAGCGTTTTGCTTTTGCTTTCCGGGGATGCCCTCTTGGGCTAATCTGCGATGCGGCGGGTCGCTATCGGGTCGATCCTCTTGTTCAGGTGAGTCAGGCCGGGTGCGTATCGCTTGCGCTCGCTGGTCGACCCGGTCGGGGATCGGGCTCGTCGGATCGCTCGATTTGATGATTGGGTCTGGCTGGGTCGAGCGATGTGGTCGGTGAGTCAACGCAAGGGAGATTGCGAGCGACGATGGCATGGGAGAGGCCGGGAATCGATGCAGCTGATCGCCCCGGTGATCTTCCCCGGGCGACAGGAGCGGATGGGTGTCGGTGGGGGAAGCGATAAGCCGAGGGCATAAAAGCTGGGTCGTCGTCCAGGTCGTTTTTGTCGGCACCCCGCAAATTCCGCCGTCATTATCGCTGTCCCTAAGCGGATCGTCATCCCCGCTGTCCCGCTGTCCCTCGTCAAGATCCTTCCCTGTCGGTGTCGGTCAAGATTTCGGTCAAGGTGTCGATCAAGGTGTCGGTGTCGATCGTTATTCAACTGCAACTGCAACCTGTCGGTGTCGGTCCATCTATTCAACCCTCGGTCAACTGCAACTGCGACATCCCCCTCGAGCAAGTGCAAGCTGTCGGTCGGAGCCAGGCTGCCAGTGTAGCCCTTTGTGACCCATGAGCGAACTGATCCATGTGTATGCTGGTTGGCCCCTGGCATGCATGTGGATTGGGGGTTTCATGGGAAGCTCTGGGTGAACTGCCGGTCTGGTCTATACAGCTAAGGTCCGCATTGCCCCCATGAGTCCAGCATCCACTCGCATCGCATCACACTGCATTGTATATCCCCTCCTCTCGTGTGTGGCTGACAGCGCGACGCAGCACTAATACTTCTGTCTTTCTTGCTTCCAGGGCCTAAAAGTCCTCTCTCAGTCGCCAGGCTGCACTGCAGTGGACTGGTTTCATCCTCGCATGGTCTTACCACATACGCTGGCGTGCCCTAGCGTCCCTGGGTCGGATCGAGGGTGGACCAGAAAGCTGCAGTGTGGCCATTTTCTTTCTTTTGGCGGCTGGAGAGGCGAACCTCTGCCCGTTTGGATCCAGGCCATTCGTCGCCTTTGCCATCCTTTTGTCGGTCCATCGATGCTGATCAGGGCACGCTGCCTGGTGTCGGATCGAGGGAGGATGGTCTTGGTGCCGGGGAAGGCTGGTGGCTTGCTGCCTGCTTTCTTCGGTACCATGTGGCGAGGAATGGTCTGGATCGTGCTAACTCTTTCCACTATCTTTGGTTATAGAATGAGTATCGATTATGAATGTCGAGTTGTCGTTGTCGAGTCATCGGATGTTCTCTCGGTCGATCAACATCAGCGATTCTTATGGGACAGCACTATTGTATATTGGATGTATTGGATGTATTCAATATCAAATACAACATCACTCGGCCATTGCCGCTTCATCGGAACCACTCTGCAAGTCCACTCTTTGGTACCATGGCGTTTTGGGCGGGTGTTGGCGGTGCGGTTGCTTAGTTGCTTGCATGTTTAGTGTTGCGGCTTGGTTGTTTGGGAGTGGAACTCGGAGTGACTCGGGAATCAGGGCCACTTGCCGAGTTGCTTGAGGTCGTTGATGGCATATTCGAGACCCTGATCGGCGGACTTGCGGTACCAGAAAACGGCAGTGTCGATGTTCTTGGGGACACCTTCGCCATTTTGGTAGCAGTCGCCGAGCCAATCTTGTCCGTATCGATTGCCCTGTTCGGCCGACTTGCGATACCACTCGGCTGCCTTGGTGTGGTCCTGGGTGACTCCAATTCCACTGTCGTAACAATAACCAATCCTCCACTGCCCATATGAGTTGCCTTGGTCGGCCGACCTGCTGAACCACTCTAATGCCTTCTTGTTGTCACTCGATACTCCCCCGCCAAAGCAGTAGCACCTTCCGATCCACAACTGGCTGTCGCTGTGGCCTTCGTTGGCGAGTTGCTCGAATATGCCGGCCGCCTTCTTCCTGTCCACGGTGGTTCCGAATCCAAGGAACACACACACAGTGTAGGAGATGGTATCTCCGACGCTGTGCTGCGCGTACTGCGCGTACTGCGCGGCGCAGTGGGTCGTGACCTGTGCTGCGCTTTGCGTTTTCACGCACCGCAGGCAGGCCACCGCAGGGTATACCTGCGGGTTGCCCCCGTTCCCCCCGTTTGTCTGGAGTTCGGTTTTATCGTGAATAAACGTAAGTGCTCCCCGAGCTCACCCGTCCGCTAGAGTAGCCTAGCACCGCCCTGTTCTGCCCCGTCCTGTCTTGTCTTGTACCCCCTCCCTCCCCGTCTTGCCCCAACGTCCCAGTAGTGGACGTTACATGGTAGCATCGGAAATCCTCGTCTTGTTTTCGTCCTGTTTGTCCTCTTTCTAGATCCTCAAGCTGGATCCCGCCTCTCTTGCCGACCGACTCTCCTCTCTGTCCCTGGAGCCTGCCCCTGCCATGAGCAACCCCCGCCCACTTCCGGAAGCCTTCCTCAAGACCTTCCGTGCCCCAGTGTTTACTGGGAAGAGCCGCTCCTCCTCGGTGGAGGACTGGCTGCAGCAACTCGAGGACTACCTCGATGCTGCCCAAGTCGCCCCCACCCACCACATCGTCGCCGCCAAGCTCTGCTTAAAGGACCAGGCGTACCGTTGGTACCGCCGCCAAGGGTTCGACGAGCAGAGCGAAGGTGTGTTTGACGACTTCAAGGACCGCCTCCGTCGCCGCTTCGGCAGCCCCAATGCTGAACTCATTGCCCGTGACAAGCTATACTCTCTCGTGCAGCGTGGTTCTGTGACCCGCTACATCGAGGAGTTTGAAGACCTCTCCTCCCAGATTGAGGAGCTGGGCTCTGCTGATGCGATGTACCTCTTCCAGAAGGGCCTCAAGCCCAAGATCAGAGAGTACATCGCCAGCAACCCTGATGCCCGCAAGTCCCTGGACGTGATGATGGACGTTGCCGAGAACCTCGACAACGTCCAGTACCATGGCCGCCAGTTCTACCCGCAGCTGGCAGGCGGCCATCGGTCTCATCACGTCCCAGCCCGTCCGCCTCGCCCGGCCCCGCCCGCAAGACCCATGCCTGAGCCCATGGACGTTGACGTCAACGCCATGGAGGCTCGTGGCCCTCCCCGCTCCCGGTTCCAGCAAGCTGCCACTGTCTCCCCCAAGGACAGACAGAAGCAGGAGGACCTCCGCCATGGTTCCTGCTTCTTCTGTCACCGACCGGGACACCAGGCCAAGGAGTGCCCCATGAAGTCGGGAAACGGCCGACCCTACTAGGTGGCTCTGGAGCCCTAGTAGGAGACCAACGCCGTGGATTGCTCAATGCAGTCCACGCGTCTCCAGAGGAAGTTCACCTCGCCCCCTCCCCCGAAGGAGAAACAAACCAAGTGTTGTGCGTCGTGCGAGAGGTGCATGGTGGCGCAAGCCGCCTGCCTCTCCACGAACGTGAAGAGAAAACCAAAATTGAAAACCAAAACAAAAAAGAAAATCAAGAACCCTTGAGGGACAGGACCGCCTGTGCCCTCACCCCTGTCAAGTCGTGTGTGTCGGATGCTTCCGACATGTGTCCGCAAGCCGTGGACGTCGTGTGCAATGGCGTGCTGACGCCGCAGGCCCCCGCAATGGCCGAACCCTATCCAAAATGTCCGAGTGGCCGTGATGAAGCCAACCAAGACCAAGTGTCGCCCGTTCCCCCAAGTCAAGTCATGGTGCAGGAGGCTGTGCAGGAGGACCATGAAGAGTCCCTGCTGTACCTCCCTGCCACCGTCCAAGGTCACACCGTCCGAATGATGGTGGACTCTGGAGCAAGCTGCAACTTTGTCAGCAGACGCTTGCTCCAGGAGCTCAACATACATGCAACCAAGAAGAAGTCGCCGATGAGTGTGGCGCTTGCAGACGATCGTGTGCAGCAGTGCACACACCAAGTGGTCCTGCGAGTGGCCCTCCATCCCAAGTACCATCCTGTCCTGTTGTTCCAAGTGATCGACACCAAGTTCGATGCCATCCTCGGCATGAGCTGGCTTGCTCGTGCCGAGCCGACTCCAGTCGTCGACTGGAAAGGCCGCACTGTCCGTGTTGGCCCTGACATTGTCCTGCAGGGCATGGCCTCACCCAACATGCCACCTCTCCTCTCAGCCATGCAATTCAAGAGGCTGATCAAGAAGGACACGTCGTTCCTCTGTGTCGTGCGTGAGGTCGACGACACCGACCAAGCCGGTCCCGGTCCCCCGCCTGTGGTGACCAAGCTGCTCGACGAGTACAAGGACGTATTCCCCGACCAGTTGCCACAATGCCTGCCACCCCAACGCACCGTCGATCATCGCATCGACATCGAACCAGGCTCGTCGCCTCCGTCAAGACCGACGTACCAACTGTCGCTGACGGAGATGGACGAACTCAAGCGCCAGTTGGATGACCTCCTCGCCCATGGGTTCATCCGCCCGAGCCAGTCACCGTATGGTGCACCAGTGCTCTTTGTCAAGAAGAAAGAAGGTGATCTCAGGATGTGCGTCGACTATCGCGCACTAAACAAACAGACCATCAAGAACACCTACCCGTTGCCCAGGATCGACGAGTTGATGGATCGTCTGAGTGGAGCAAAGGTCTTTAGCAAGATAGACCTCCGCTCAGGCTACCATCAGATCCGCATCCACGAGGATGATGTCCACAAGACCGCCTTCAGGACTCGCTACGGACTGTACGAGTTCCTAGTGCTGCCGTTCGGATTGACGAACGCACCTGCCACGTTCATGCAGCTGATGAACGATGTGTTCCGCCAAGAGCTCGACAACTCTGTCATCGTGTACCTGGATGATATCCTTGTGTACAGCAAGGATGAAGCGACCCATGAAGGTCATGTCGCCCGCGTGCTGGCCAAGCTACGCGAGCACAAGTTGTATGCCAAACTGTCCAAGTGTGAGTTCTTCAAGAATCAAGTCCCGTTCCTGGGACACGTTGTCTCAGGAAGAGGAATCGAAGTCGACCCCGCCAAGGTCAAGTCTGTGGTCGAGTGGCCGCCGCTCGCATGCGTCTCTGACGTGCAGTCGTTTCTCGGTCTCGTCAACTACTACCGCCGATTCATCCCCGATCTGGCGCGCACTGCCGGTCCACTCACAGACCTACTCCGCAAAGAGTGCCCCTTCGTGTGGGACCACCCACAACGCCAAGCGTTCGAGACCCTCAAGCACGCCTTGACGAACGCTCCTGTCCTCGCTGTGTTCGACCCGAACACGGATGTCTCCGTGCACACCGACGCCTCCGACTTTGCGGTGGGAGCTGTTTTGATGCAGGAGGGAAGGCCCGTTGCCTTCGAGTCGCGCAAACTGTCCCAACACGAGATCAACTATCCCGTGCACGAGAAGGAGCAGCTTGCGATCATCTACGCGCTGCAGAAGTTCCGAGTGTACCTCCACGGTACCGCCAAGCCCTTCAAGATTGTGACGGACCACCAGTCACTGCGTTACCTCGACACCAAGAAGAACCTGAGCCGACGCCAAGCGCGATGGATGGAGTTCCTCGCCGAGTACAACTACGAGGTTGTATACCAGAAAGGCAAACTCAATGTGGTGCCTGACGCACTGTCCCGACGCCCCGACTACCAATTGGCGTCACTGTACGAGTCGACTGTCAGTGTAGGAGATGGTATCTCCGACGCTGTGCTGCGCGTACTGCGCGTACTGCGCGGCGCAGTGGGTCGTGACCTGTGCTGCGCTTTGCGTTTTCACGCACCGCAGGCAGGCCACCGCAGGGTATACCTGCGGGTTGCCCCCGTTCCCCCCGTTTGTCTGGAGTTCGGTTTTATCGTGAATAAACGTAAGTGCTCCCCGAGCTCACCCGTCCGCTAGAGTAGCCTAGCACCGCCCTGTTCTGCCCCGTCCTGTCTTGTCTTGTACCCCCTCCCTCCCCGTCTTGCCCCAACGTCCCAGTAGTGGACGTTACATGGTAGCATCGGAAATCCTCGTCTTGTTTTCGTCCTGTTTGTCCTCTTTCTAGATCCTCAAGCTGGATCCCGCCTCTCTTGCCGACCGACTCTCCTCTCTGTCCCTGGAGCCTGCCCCTGCCATGAGCAACCCCCGCCCACTTCCGGAAGCCTTCCTCAAGACCTTCCGTGCCCCAGTGTTTACTGGGAAGAGCCGCTCCTCCTCGGTGGAGGACTGGCTGCAGCAACTCGAGGACTACCTCGATGCTGCCCAAGTCGCCCCCACCCACCACATCGTCGCCGCCAAGCTCTGCTTAAAGGACCAGGCGTACCGTTGGTACCGCCGCCAAGGGTTCGACGAGCAGAGCGAAGGTGTGTTTGACGACTTCAAGGACCGCCTCCGTCGCCGCTTCGGCAGCCCCAATGCTGAACTCATTGCCCGTGACAAGCTATACTCTCTCGTGCAGCGTGGTTCTGTGACCCGCTACATCGAGGAGTTTGAAGACCTCTCCTCCCAGATTGAGGAGCTGGGCTCTGCTGATGCGATGTACCTCTTCCAGAAGGGCCTCAAGCCCAAGATCAGAGAGTACATCGCCAGCAACCCTGATGCCCGCAAGTCCCTGGACGTGATGATGGACGTTGCCGAGAACCTCGACAACGTCCAGTACCATGGCCGCCAGTTCTACCCGCAGCTGGCAGGCGGCCATCGGTCTCATCACGTCCCAGCCCGTCCGCCTCGCCCGGCCCCGCCCGCAAGACCCATGCCTGAGCCCATGGACGTTGACGTCAACGCCATGGAGGCTCGTGGCCCTCCCCGCTCCCGGTTCCAGCAAGCTGCCACTGTCTCCCCCAAGGACAGACAGAAGCAGGAGGACCTCCGCCATGGTTCCTGCTTCTTCTGTCACCGACCGGGACACCAGGCCAAGGAGTGCCCCATGAAGTCGGGAAACGGCCGACCCTACTAGGTGGCTCTGGAGCCCTAGTAGGAGACCAACGCCGTGGATTGCTCAATGCAGTCCACGCGTCTCCAGAGGAAGTTCACCTCGCCCCCTCCCCCGAAGGAGAAACAAACCAAGTGTTGTGCGTCGTGCGAGAGGTGCATGGTGGCGCAAGCCGCCTGCCTCTCCACGAACGTGAAGAGAAAACCAAAATTGAAAACCAAAACAAAAAAGAAAAT